AAAAAAAAAAACCCTTGAGAGCATTCTCCCAGATTTCAAGAAACTGAGCCGAAATCTTTGACAGATTACAGCTTACTTGGTCCCACCAGAGGCAACAGCTGTTGGGTGTAAATGTCCCGGTGGGAGGCATGAAAGGGAAAGAGCACAGAAAAGAAATACATGAAACATGTTGCAGAGACTTTTTTTTTAACTTGCTTTCCTAGAGGGTTTCAGACTTGGGGCCGATAAATGTTTGGCAGTTACAGAAGCGGCTTGTATAACCCTCCTCTGACCTTCGGCCAAGCATGGTTCGGTGGATTTGAAATATTATGTAAAAAATCTGGCAGATCCAGTGGTGTCCAACCTTGGCCCTCCAGATGTTCTTGGACTACAACTTCCAGAAGCCGATAAATGTTTGGCAGTTACAGAAGCGGCTTGTATAACCCTCCTCTGACCTTCGGCCAAGCATGGTTCGGTGGATTTGAAATATTATGTTAAAAAACTGGCAGATCCTTTAGTCAGATGGAAAACCAGATGAAGATAGGTAAGTATCTGATTTTTCCCCATCTGAGTTTATTTCCAGCTTTAGTGGAGGCTCAAGGTTGGGGACCACTGCTAGTCAGATGGAAAACCGGATGAAGATAGGTAAGCATCTGATTTTCTCCATCCGAGTTTATTTCCAGCTTTGGGGCTCTAAATTCTAAGATCTTACTGGTAAGCTGTTGTGTTAGCACTCAGCTAATCTGCCTTCCATCTTTTCTGCAGTCCATTATGGACTGCTTTGTAGCACTTACCTACCTTGTGCAGAGAAAGGATCTCCCTGCCATGATGCAGATGATGGTTAGACTATCCTTGCCTTTTTGCTCCGCCTTTCCCTGCTTCATACGAGTGTGTCCATGCATTTGTGGCCAGGGATAGGAGAAAGGAATATAGGAATGGACCGGTGAAAACAGCAACCAATGCATGCAGATCTGGAGCCAATGCCCCCACTTTTCCCACATAAAGTGAGTAGGAAAATAGCATGCCTGTGTGGCAAGATAAAGCAACAGGGTGGGGTGGGGGGACAAAGAAAAAAATAACACCACAAAGCAGAGAAAAACCTCATCCAACCAAACTTTTTGTTTCTATTTTTCCCCCTCCCCATATATTACTTTATTTGACTTTACTCGTCAATCTGCTCTTTGGCAAAGGCTCAGGGCACATATAACATTTTAAGAACACTGATAGAAACAGAACAACGTTATCTGAGAGATGTCCTGCATTTGCCTTGCCAGTTTAACTCTGGCTCAGGAAATCTCCGCTCACACAAGATCCTCGTTGTCAGCCACACACGTGGCAGAAAGTGGCACCACCTGACATGTGACATTTCAGAAGGCCAGCGGACAGGCCTTTTTTTCAATGCCTCCTCATATTAGGGGAAAAAAACAAAGAATAGGAAACAAGATTGTTGGCAAGGCATTCTTGGCCCTCCTTTGCTGTGCCAGCTTTTAATTCTTCCAGGATCTTAGCTGTTAATGTGCCACCTTCCAGAACCACCTCCGTGCCAGAACACAGCTATAAGGAACTCTGGAGAGCGACTTCTGCGGTTAGCAAGCCGTTGTCTCCTTAATCCTTGGAGTTCTTTTCTCTCTCAACCAAGAGAATGGGAGGGAGGCATATAAAGGGGTATCACAGGCTAGCCTTGCTTTTAAGGGTTCAGTCCTGTTGAAAATCAGTGGGGTAGAACTCAACTTGCCTTCTTAATGCACTTGCTTGCATGGGGGCAGGAGAGAAAAAACAGGTTCCCCAGACTGTCCTTTGACCTGCCTCGAACTTTGCTAACCATCCTTAGAAGCCTAGGTGTTTAAGGCTGATGAAAGCTCTCTTCCTTACCTCCTCTTCCAGGCTCTCTGGACCTCCCTCTTTGAAGCCAACGTAGCTTCTTAGGTCTTGCTTTGGCCTTGGTTGGCCAACACAAAGACTCTCTATCCTCTTTCATGTCACAATGTCTTTCTCAGAATAAAAAGCGGGTTCCTTCTGTTCTTAACCAAGGCTCACTCCATGATGATTGCTTTCCAGAGCAAAATATGGTCCTCCAGGGACCTTGCTCTTTCAGAAGGCCAGCATCCCTGCCCACCACCAGGTAGGCTCACCTTGGGCTGTATCATCTTCAGCATCTCCATAGGAAGGGGAGAGCTAGCTAGTACAGGGTGGGAAAGGCACACTGCTAGCCATTTCTCTAGAAATCCACTCCCATCAAAGCTGACCGTTTGTTGGCTAGATGAAATGACCGTCTGAATTGAGTGCATGGAGGCCTTTATGAACTGGGTACATGGAGCTGATGTGAGTTATACCTAAGGTGGAGAGCTCCCCACTTTCCAGCTTCGTCAGGGCTTTTAACACACCCAACCCCGTTCCATGTTCCACCATGAAAGCAGAAAATCCCTCTAAAGTCTCTGCAGTGAAATTTCGGGGACATTCTCTCGTGACGCCGGAAGGAGTGCCGGCCACATTTTTCCACCTGGTGATCAGAGCTTCTCAAGCTGAGCCACCCAAGGCTACAGGGGCACCGTTGCTGGGTGAGCAGATGCCTCAAAGCTTCAGAAATTAATGACATCCTTAATTTCAGAAGCAGCTACAATAAAATGACTCCATTTGAACAGAGGTGGCGGATGGGAGAGGGTGAAATGGGGGGGGGGCAAAATGAGCCTCCAGAGTCATACTAATCAACCACAACCACTATCCTCAGCACATCCTCATTTGTTTATCCTTATCCCACCCTGTTTTTTTTCCCCTCAGAAGCATCTGCCTGACAAATGAAAACAGGTATGAGAATTTTGAGGGCTCTTTTGGCAAGGCTGCAGAGGAAACAGCCGGCGCTGCGAGAGGACAGGCAGACGTATTCTATCTGGTTTCCATCAACAGATGCACTTCTGTTTGAATAGTTGAGCCAAAGCAAAACCGATGCTTGGAGAGTAATGATGAGTGGGCAGAACATTTTTTTTTAGTCCAAGAGAAGTCTTTCCAGTAAGCTCTGAGTATGGTGGAGACATTGTGGGTGAGGGAACAGCCTCGGGAATACCTGGATATTTGCAAGGGCGATTCCTGAAACCAAAAACAAATGATTAGCAATTGTGTTCCGAAATATGGGATATCTCTGTCTCTGGGAATCTAGCTGGAAATGTTGCAACGTGTGGTTGACATGGTCCCTACTAATTTACAGGGTGACAGTCCCCATTTTGACAGGTTTAGAGCAAAGCAATCCATCAATCTGCTATTTCTCTTGTATTTCTCTTAGCTGTCCTGACAACCTTTGTCTCCCCCACCCCCACCCCCAACATACTGGCAGATTGACTCCTGCTGGTTAAATACAACGTCTTTCTAATTTTTGATGAACATTACCAGGAGAACTAGAGGTTGACAAAAATCCCTTGGTGGCCCTGATACTCCCACACAAGCAAAGTCGCTCAGTTATTTTAGGTTCAAACTATTTGATGCACTCGGCACGTTTCTAAAGGCAGTGCTCCCTCGAGTGGTGAAAGAGGTCTGTTTGCCACACACATTTGCTTTCTTCACTTCCATATATTGCATCTAGCATGCATCGTTTTTGTGACTGGTCACTGAAAGTTAAGCACAAACTAACTTTCCATTTCTGTTTCAGCAGCTGAATTAATTGTTAGGACTGTATGCTTCCCTTAATGTCTAATTTGACCCTTACAGTTTTTGAGCTACTGTGGCAGTTTTGCCGATCCCCTGAGAGAAAGGGGAAAAAAACCATTATGTTTCGATGGACCAAGAATCCTACCTGACTGGGGAATGCTTGTCCCTCTCACCTGGAGATCTTGAGGCCAGGAGTTCCTACAGCCGCAGAGACGTTACACGTGGAATGTGGAATGGGTAGGTTTCTTCTGATCCTGTAGAACTGTACATCATGGCAAAGGAGAAAGCAATGAGAAGAGCCACATTAGAAGGTGAGTTCCATCACTTGTAAAGCCCCACCGCTCTTTTTTACAAGGGGGGGGGTGTCTCTGTGGCTAAGCCAGGCTTCTTTATATTCTGAATGATACTGCTGATTCTGAAGGATGCTGCGGTTCCCTGTCAGGAGGATGCTGGTTTTTAAAAGTAATAGCTTGTGCAAATGTTACCAGCATGAGTCACATAGTACAGTCATGTAGCTGGCTATGCATTTTTATGTTTGTGGGGGTTGGAAAAGTATACACAAATGAAATTTCTACTCGTCATGAAACCTTGGGGCTCTGCAGCTAGAGTCCAGCACACCCCGTGGATTATCTGTGGGACGGCTTTGTCCACTCAGGGCCTTTGTGGCATGAAAGGGCGATTCCTCATCTAGAAGCAGTGCTCCCATATGAGGGAAATACTGCCTGTTTGTTCTAAAACAAGCTAGCCTCAGCCTGCAATTGGCAACTTAGCTTGGTTTTATGTTGCACTTGGTCCCTTGGGAGGTAGCAGGGCTTTGGCTTGTGGGCCTGATGTCTCAAGACAACTTGCTCTGAAAGATCTGTGTGCCTGGAAGGACAACACACAAAGAGAAGGAAAGGTATGTTTATTTTAACTTGTGACCTGACCCCCAACTTCACCTCTGTGGGTCCTGCTCACTCTGCCCCCATCCAAACTGACAGCCCCATCAGTTTTCCAAGGGAGCACAAAAAAAGGTTCCGTGGTTAAGATCTTGGATGGACTCCTAACAATTCCCAAGTTGGTGTTGTTGGGTTTTTTTTAAATAAAAGATCAAATAAATTCAAATTTAACCCCAAGGGAATCTGGATGGAAAGGTGCCCATTTAGCACCAGGTAAAGACTTTTCTCATTGCCTGGGCATTTCAGCCGGTTTCGAAAGCAATAAAATCCAACAGAGCTATGCTGTAAAAACCGATTCCAAATTTCGTGATGGACTTTATTGCTGCTGTTTCTGTGCGTTTATCTTTTTTTGATGCTGTTTTCTTGCAATCACTGATTGCACGCCACCCTTGGCGTTTTCTAGTTGAAAGGCAGCCTAGAAACTATTTAAAGGTGTGACTACTGCTGTCTATTCTCACTTTATACAGTCAGGTTTCTGGGGGGGGGGCAGGGAGGAATAATCTGGGAACCACCACCCAGATGACAATTTGCAGGAGTCAGGGGGCAGAGGCAGAATGATGTGTCTTTAGGGAGCTCCAACAGCAGAAGCTGCCTTTAGGTGCTAACAAGGAGCTAATTGGCAATTTCCTCCTTTCTCTCCCCCAAGGGACTGCTTTGCATCAGATCAGGAAGTGGACAAAAGCTAATGTCAAATTAACTGAGGCACGTTTAACACCACCGCCACCCAGCCAAACATAAAAAGACGGTTTCCCAGCGTGAAGGGATGAATCCAGAATGGGCTTCCCCACAATGAGCATCAAATTCACCCATGCCTGATCTGACACAAAGTGTGGGCCAATCGGCCAAGGTACCCAAAGGCGCCAAGCAGCCACTCTCTTCCAAGTCTGTTGTGGGACTCACTTACACGAGTCGGAGCCGGATGGGACGAAAGTGCTTGGTGGTCTTGATGGCAAAGAAGATGCTGGGGATGAGGAAGAAGGTGCAGCAGCCGAGGCTCAACCAGAAGGCATTCTGGAAATAGACACAGAAACATGTGTTGGGACAGAACATTAGAGCCTCCAGCATATCATGGGAAGCAGCTGCTGCCTGACCCACAGATAGGTAACCCAGGTATGTTTTCCTTCCTTGTGCCTTCTAGATCTACAGACGGACTGGCACTCATAGGCTTCCTTCTCCTGTGAGGTCAGCTCCTGCTTCTTCTCACTCCCTCTAGACAGAAACAATCTTGCACACAAGGAAATAAGCACTGGGGGGGTTTCCTCTTTGACTAGACTTAAGCAGGCCTCCAACTTAATAAGCAGTATGCCTGTTTTTCCTTTCGCCTAATATCAATCTGCAGAGCAATCATTTCTTCTTATTGGTTGCAAGCCCTGCAGGAGGTCATTGGATTCTGGCCCTAAATACCAGATAATATTAACAACGAAGCCCCTGATGAGGGGCTCGGAGGGTTCTTGAGGGGACCATATTTAATTTACAGCTGCATCCCATAAGCTCCTGTCACAGACGCTTCTCATTGTACTTTTGACACCCTGAGTTTTAAGGACGGGAAACAAATCAGAACAAAGGAATAAATGCAGGCTGCTTCACCAGGACAGAGAGTGGATGTCCGTGAAACCTTACACTGGAGAAAATGCACTTGCTTTTACAGAGCTACAGGAGCTGTTGTTTTGGATGGCTATGCTCCCGGAGATGTGAAACGAAAGAGTGTCTACATCCACAGAGCGCATGCTGTGTGCGTGGAACTCACTGCCCCAAGCATGGTGCTGGTTAAAGAGAAGATCTGGGACTTCCTAACGGTTAGAGCAGTACGATGATGGAACGAATGACCTCGGGAGGCAGTGAGATACGAAGAACACTGTGAGCACTCCAGTGCTGGAGGCCTCCAATAGAAAACTGGACCACCACGTCAAATCTGCTTTGACCAGGATTTCTGCATTGAATGGGGAGGGGGCCTCGTTGGTCTTATAGGCTCTATCCAACTCCATGATTCAATGGTTCTAAAAGGCAGACAGGACCAACTAAAGGGAAGCACCATCGTTTGTCCTTCTGGAATGCTCTTCCTCTCCAACAAGGCAAAGGAACGGCAGCGGCGACGGCCCAAAGACTTCTAACGGTTAGAGCAGTACGACGATGGAACGAATGACCTCAGGAAGCGGTGAGATACGAAGAACACTGTGAGCGCTCCCAAAGACTCCCAGCTGAACGACAGGACCAGCAGACAGGCAGGCAAGCTCAGGCTTGCTGTGAAGTCAAGGCGGAGGCAGCTGAAGCCCAACCGGCACGCCTTCCTGGCTCCCACCTGTCTGCACACCTTCTTCCCGTCCAGCTGCCAGCAAAGCAGGCCACCTGAGATCCCTCCCAAGGGAGGCGGCCCTTCTGGGCAGGTGGGCGAGATCTCTGCCGGATGGATGGTGGACCAGGAAGGGCGGGACCGGAGGCCTGCCCATCCAAATAGGCTGCCAAGCTCCACCTGGCTGCCAGCGTCCACTCCTCCAAGAGCTGAAGCCCGTGTCTTTGTGGCTAATTAACTCACTGACTAATGAACCAACCAACCAGCCTAACCAACCAGCCAACTGCTTGGCTGCTATAGAAAGCCAACATACAGAGTTTCCGGGGATGTCTCCCCCACACCTCAAAGCCTACTCAGACTGAAGCCTAGGACCCACACGGCCACACACACCCCTTTTGTCATGATGATGAAAAATACTCCTCAGAAGTTATTTTGCACTTTAAGTCTACTCTGAAGTCCTAGGGTGCTTCTGCTAACCGGGTAACAAGTTGATTTTTTTAAAAAAGAGCAGGGGGTCCTGCTGCCACCTCTCACTAAGATGACACAGAGTTTCTAAATGAGATGATGATGATGATTACTATTATTACTATTATTACTATTATTACTATTACTGCCTAGGACCCACACGGCCACACACACCCCTTTTGTCATGATGATGAAAAATACTCCTCAGAAGTTATTTTGCACTTTAAGTCTACTCTGAAGTCCTAGGGTGCTTCTGCTGACCGGGTAACAAGTTGATTTAAAAAAAAAAAAGAGCAGGGTGTCCTGCTGCCACCTCTCACTAAGATGACACAGAGTTTCTAAATGAGATGGTGATGATGATGATAATGATGATGATGATGATGATGATGATGATGATGATGATGATGATGATGATGATGATGATGATGATTATGGAGGAAGAATGGGGCAAGGGCAGAATAGGGGCCTCTGGGAGTGCTGAGAAACATCCAGGATTGGCCCCTTAGGAAGGAGTGAACGCTTCACGTCAAGAAAGCAGACTCGTTTATGCCCCTTCAGAAACAAGCCTCAATGTTTTCCCTTGGGAAACTCTGAAGTAAGGTTTACGACTTCTGTAAGAGTTCCTTAAAGTCCGGGTGAAAATGCACGGAGCAAAAGGCGAAGAGGACGGGGAGAGAAAAGTACTGGACAGAGCCCCATGCACCCAAGGAATGGTTCGGGAGCCACTTACCCAGGGATCCGCCACGCGGTCGCACAAGATAACCCGGCCGTTGTCTAGAGCGGTGGAGAAAGGCTGGCAGGAAGCCACGTCTTCCGTGAGCTGAGGCAGAAAAGAAGTTTATTTTTGCTTCAGTGGAGGATAATACGGAGCCCCCGAGGCCCTGCAGCTCATGAGTGAGGAGTCTTTTTTTATTTTAAACCAAGGGCCGTGGACCTAAATGTCAACCAGGGTCCAGAGCAGCTACGTTTAATCTGTCAGCAGCATGCCCGAGCTTGATAAAGTTTAAAATTCCAAATCAACGAACAAACCAAGGTGTCACGGGATTAAGGACATAATCTGGAGCAATTTCCTAGTCGTTTGCAAACCTCTAATAACTTAGCAAGCAAAGCCGTTCCTAAATGAAATGGAGCAAACTCTGTCCTTAAATCTTACTGCATTGTGTTCACCTCATGTCTGTTCCCCTCAAAGATTTTTCCTTCTGCCAGCATCCCGGACTTCTCCCGGCACGTGAGGACTTCCTGCTCCCACCGTTGCCCCAAGCTCTGGACGGGTCCTTCCTTCCTGTCACGTGAGGGCCCCACGCAAGACCTCACGCGCCACTGGCCTCCCACAGAGGCTGAACACAAGAAGCCACGACTTACCACGCTCCTCAGCCAGTTCAAGTACTGCGAGATGTACCCCGCCTCTTTTTTAACGAAGCAACCTAATTCCTGGGGGAAAAGAAGAAGACAACACGGATTGAAGGGTTACAGATGTTTTCGAGGAAGTGGATCCGATGGTTGTTGTGGGTTTTTCGGGCCTTTTGGGCGTGTTCTGAAGGTGGTTCTTCCTGACATTTCGCCCGTCTCCATGGCTGGCATCTCTTAAAAGTTAGAGCAGGACGAGTGGTTCTTCCTGACATTTCGCCCGTCTCCGTGGCCGGCATCTCTTAAAAGTTAGAGGAGTACGACAATGGAACCCATCACCTTGGGAGGTGGTGAGCCCCCCAACGCTGGAGGCCTTTGAGAGAAAATTGGACCACCCTTTGTCAGATACATCTTGTTTTAGATTCCTGCCTTGAGCACGAGTTTGGACTCAATGCCCCTTTCGAGTTTTACAGACATTAAGCTGATTGCTCGGGGTAGTATGACATGAGACAGAGCCTTGGTGGAAGGTCTCAGATTCCAGGCAGACGTGTATAGGAGGAGGTGGTCTTTCAGAGATCTCAAAACCATTTAGGGATCCCCTTGAAATGGGCTCAGAAGCCAATTGGAAGTCAGTGCCACATCGAGACTGTGTGAGAGGGTCTCGCAGGGGACACGACAGGGTGACGGTTGCATCTTGCACTCCCTGCAGCTTCCAGACACTTCACTCACCTGTTTCAGGATCTTCTCAGACTCTATAGGGACGATGCTCTCCGCTTGGTTAATCTGTGACTGGGTGCTGTTTATCAGAGCCTAGCGAGGAAGAAAAAGAGGCAGGAGCTGAGCAGACGGGGAAGTCCTGACAGATAAGACTTGGAGTGTGCCAGTTGGACGCCGTGGTCCTCCTCAAGAAGAGCAACCCCGGGCCAAATTCCCTCTTTGATCCCTGACAAGTGTAGCTATGGAAACCTGAAACCTCGCTCAGCTAATCGAGCTTTCACTTCTCCAAAGCCATGGCTAAAAGACATTGGGCACCATTCCTGCCATGAGCAGTTGGGGGAAAGGGTCTGCCTCTCCCTCTCTCATGTCCCTGGAATAAGAAAGTCATGATGATGCAAACAGGTTGCATAGGCACACATTTTACTCACAGATCCTCTTACATGTAGCCCAAGTGCAAGTAGATGGAATCACTTGGTAGGAGAGTCTGCTCCAGGATGGGCAACATCGTTGAAATGGGGAGCTAATTTTCTACTTCCCTGTCAGGTTAGGATTCCAGCACTTTACTCCCAGGGGTTCCTGGTGGTGTTGGCTTCTGGGAGTGGCAGTCCAGGTCCACCTCGGTTACCCAAGGTTGGGAACCACTGCTTTATCCCCTCCTCAGTTCTCCCATGCAGCCTGATGACTTATGACCTCTGAGGGGTCAGAAGATGGCCCTTTCATGTACGGCACACATTATCTGGAAGTTGAGCCCTGGCAACCGGACTTCTTTCTTATTAGGTTGAAATGTTCTGCTCCTTATCCAAGCAGCTTCTTCAGTTTGAGGAAAGTTGGTAGGAGACACCTGACATCTGGCCCACCTTGGCTTCACTTCCCCCTCGTCTGAACAGGCTCCTTAGATGGACAAAAGACTGGGGGAATGGGTGAAAATCCCATCTCTGCAATTCTTCTCCACCCATTGCCATCGGTCCTTAATGGCCGTTAACAGTGGCCTTTCTGGGGGGTGTGTGTCTGGTCCCCATCTTTCTGGGGCCAGGCTCCTTCTAAGAAGTCTATTCAGACCAGGGGGACTTGAAAGCAAAGTGGGGGAGATGTCGGGGGTCTCCTACCAACTCTCCTTAGACTGAAGAAGCTGCTTGGATGAGGAGCAGAACGTTTCAACCTAATAAGAAAGAAGTCCCGTTGCCAGGACTCGACTTCCAGAGAACCTCACCTGGATGACTGAGCATCTTCACAGATATAGGGCAAGCATTCTTCTCGACCAGGGAAAGCATCTGTTGTTTGCGTGGAACTGAGATACTTCTTAGCAATTTAAAAAAAAAAGGAAGTTGTTCTGGGTACCTTTACATACATCCTTCATCTGTCTTCTGGGATCTGGTGGGGGCTATGATTTTATCATGGAAAAATGCCAAAAAATAATAGAATTTTCCATTCTTGAAAAATGAGTATATTGGAGTGTTGCACAGTAGGGAGAAGTATGACCCATTTAAAAACTGAATCACCACTCCTGGAGGCCTCAAAGATCTGGCATTCATTCTCCCCCATCCCTGGGGGAAAAAAAGGGGGGGGAAGCCTACGTGTGACTCCAGGATTATGCTTTGCCATTGATGGTCTATGTCACGAATTTCACACTTTTTAAAAATATATCTGGAAAGGATTCTTTTGTCAAAGACTAGCCCCAGCTTTGACATCTCATTGTGAGAAATGCATCACCTCTCTCTCTTTCTTTATAAGGCAAGGAAACTCTAATTACAGAGCAGAACCGCCAAGCAACCTTTCCAGTTGCTGAATAATTTTGCAAGACACCCACAGTGGAAGAAGCATTACTCTTCATTATTTGATCATAGCCAAGCCTATGTAAGGATGAAGCTACTGAAAGGTCTTGCTGAGATCCCAAAATGATCAACTGAATGGGAACAGGGGCTTTAAAAAAAAAACCACTAGAACTGGCCATGCATGCATTTAATGGGGAGAGGCAGAATCTGCTCACAGCAAACATAGATTTCATTTCCCAAGCAGCTCGGTAATACCTAAGACCACAGTGTGGATAATTTTCATGCATGATACTATTTCCTGACCCTGAAAACATTGGAACCAGAAAAAAGGGCCAGAGAAAAAGAAACCCAGACAGCATAATTTGTAACCAAGAAGCCTTGACATCAGCAGAGAAAACAAGCAAATTATCGTAATTATAATGGTAGGTACCAAAACTCATGGCTATACATTGATCGGTCTGCGAGAATTGCAAACTTAAGCACATGTCTTAGTACTTCATGAGTCTTGTTTATGATGAGTCAATGTGCTCAGGCTTGCCAGATTTAATTAATCCAATCAGTAGCTAAATCAATTAGAAGTGGGATCACAGATCAGCTCACCTCCCCAAGTGATTAAGGGAAGGCTGAATGGCCCTTGATGTCATAGGAGACACTGTTTTAATGAATGAGAAAATCATGGGTTGATTTTCTTTCCAGTTTCTGTCCACCACTAAGAGTAGATTCACATTCATTTCTAGCCATAAGGACCACAAAGGAATGAATTTGACAATGCCGAGTTGAACAGACAGGACATATATTTTGGGAACCTGGACCAGCCCCAGTTCAACTGGTGGGAATTGAACTCACTCAGCTTGTTCCAAACAAACAAATGTAAATCAGCAGATTAAAAACAAGGGATGTCGAAATGGAGAAGTCTTTGTTAAAGGGCTTGAAAGCGCTGTTCATAAACAGAGGGTTTGGATTGATACTCCGCTGCCCTGCAGAGACCAGGAATTTTATAAGCTGCAATAACAGTACCTGCAAGCCTGGTGCCATGGCTGATAAGAACTGGACACTGGCTTTCAGCTTCTCCTGCAAGAAAATAAACCAGATTAATTGTATTTTATATACTAGACGATTCCACAAATACTCGGGAAGAGGCAATAATGCTGGGAAATGTTGAAGGCAGTAGGAAAGAGGAAGACCAAATGCAAGATGGGTTAACTCGCTAAAGTTTAGTTCACAAAGGCTGAGCAGCGAAAGAGGAAGACCAAATGTGAGATGGGTTAATTTGCTAAAGAAAGCTACAGGCTTTAGTTCACAAAGGCTGAGCAGGGCAGTTGAAGGCAGGCCATTCTGGGGAGGGCTCACTCATAGGGGCACCATAAGTCAGAGTGGTTCAGCACGCCGAACCTCAACCTCGGAAATCCAGAAAAGCCTGTATTTTGCAGGGTACAGGTTGTGTTTCCTTTGTGTGATGAATTCTGCACTTACCACAAGGCCCTCCATTATGAGGACAGTCATGTTCTGAATCTTTTTCAGGTTCTTGGCCTCCTCTGCCAGCCTTTCTGCCAGAGATCGGTCACTCTGCAGGGAACACACCAGCAAATCCAGGTTAGCCCGAAAGGAAGGGGACAGACACTGAGCACTTGCTCTAATGCACACACACATACACTCCATATGGCTCAGCAAAGAGAACCATGCTAGTTCCTTCTGGCCCTACCTGAACTTTGCTTAGCCCCTCGAGTTCCACGGCCAGGCCAACCAGGCTGGTCTTCACCACCGGCTTCCGCATCTAGAGAGAAAAAGCTGCCAGCTAGCCTTTCGGTAACATCATTTTTGAGTCCTTTCGCATCCCTTACCACAGCAGCCATCAATATCCCCGTATCAACATCGTCAGAGTTCACTGAGAATTGGAGGTGGGTGGGTTTGAGGCCGAGAGAGAATGATTAAGGACAGCGAGAGTATTTATAGCAGAAGTAAAAATTGGCATGGGGGACGTGCTGCTTTGTAAATCATTCTCTCCAGTAGAATACTCTTTGTATTCTCTGAAAGGATTCCTATTGAATTCCTGTTGATTCATTTCCCCGCCTTACAGGAGTTTGGTGCGAGAAACTTAGGAAAGCATTAGTTTCCCCCCTTTGTAGAATTTTAAGTCAAGCAGGGTATGCTGGATTTGAAATGAACCCATGTGAAACAATATAGAAAGATTTTTAAATAGATTCACCACCTTTCTGTGACGTTTCTTGGTTTTACTCCAAGAAGTGAATTGTTTTTACAGATCAGGAAAAAGATAATGAATTGTTTTTTTAGCGTGACACGTCAAGAGACTAGGAGCGATGGGGTCACTTCCAATTTGAATATATCTTGCTGTAAAAGTTTCCCTAACTTTTCAAGCTGAAAATTCAGCAAGAAACAGAAGAAATTTCAGAGATCACAACAGACTTAATATAAGATCACACATTAAAGCAATCCATGACTCTTCTTCCAACATTATCCCTCTGGGCACACAAATGTTTTAATGCTACTTGATTGAGCCATCAGCCACGCTGTTTTCTCATGGATCAAGCAAAAAACCCCAAAAAGTGACAATTAAAGCAAACCCGTAGTAGAAAACAAGCCACAGGCCACGTTGGCTGGGAGATCCTAGGATCAGTAGCCTCTTCCCTTTACAAATGTTTCCCAGTTCTGTCATAGGAGAGCAACCCTCCTTCTGCCTAAGTGGCACGATGGGCCATCCCATGGCTTCCCTCTCACCTCGGCTGTGAATCCCCCAAAATCTATCTGGTCCAGTTTGCTGTCTCGGAAGGTCTCCAGGTCCTTCTTCCCCTCTGGGTTTAGCAAAACCATCTCTTGAAAGCGGATCTGGAAACGGTCAGGACGTTTCTGAAACTCTGCTGTGTACTGGGGCAAAAAAGAGGGGAAGATGAACGTCAACCACTATCCTACATGAACCCACCAGTTCAAATTCAAAAGAGCAGAAATCTCACAAGGCCAGCACAGGCCTCCGAAGAAGCTCACATATCTGCCTTAATGCTGTTCTTTGGAGCTCCTGAGCCCACCCTCCGTCATCCATTTTCCTGCTTGAAATGGTCTGCTCTCGGTTGCTTTCCAAGCCCAGTTTTCAGGAAGAAAAAAGCACAAGGAATAAAAAAGGGAATCCTGTATTTTTCAACTGCACTGGTAAATAGATACACCAGGTTACACAACCTCGTCTCTCTTGATCATGTTTTGTTCGTACTTGCGCCTCGCTCAGGCTGTTTGGTGATTTAATTTTCATTTTCTTTGAGAAGCAGGGGAAAGAATCACGGCAGCAACATTTAACGTTTAATTTCAGCCTAATCCTCATGGGTGTCGTCCCGTTGAAACTGACTTTATACTTAGAGCTTATGCAAAGGTATCACTTAGATAACATTTTGTAGCCAGAGTCGATAAGGCATAAAACATTATGCCCTACGAAGTGGCAAGCATTGGGACAGGAAGAGGCCGTTTCAGAGTTCATTTTTGGCCACCGAGAAAATATTTTAACAGCAACGTCATTTTTTAAACCTATCTGTCTAATGAAAAAGAAACAAACAAACAAGGAAGTTAGTGTTTTTCCAAACACTGCAATTGCACAACTTGGGGGAAATTGCATTCCAGCTGAAGAAAAAACAAATGAATGAAGAAGAAAAATAAAGTCATTCAGCTGTGAACATTTGCTCCATTTATTTCAGCAGGGTAAAGGGCGGGTCCTGGATCTCTTCGACACATATTTCATAAACAACATATTTGGGAACATTTACAGAAGGACTTCCCTCTGTATTACTGATGCCGTTTGCTGGTTCACTTTCTCTTGCCTCCTGGCAATGTCCAGTTACCTTCTGTAGCAAGAATCAAGGAAAAAGGAACACGCAGGATGGGCCCCGAAGAAGGCAGACGGGATGGCCAAAAAGGCTTGGCGTAGCTGCCAGACATGAGAACTGCTACAATCAACTGGAGGCTCTTAGTCCTCTGTTTTGGACTTCAAATCCCAGATGCCCCAAGTCAGCATACACCATGGTAAGAGATTATGTGAACTGTAGTCCAGAACAGGGGTTCCCAACCTGGGGGTCTCCAGATGTTCTTGAACTAAAACTCCCAGAAGCTCTTTACCACCAGCTGTGCTGGCCGGGATTTCTTGGGAGTTGTAGTCCAAGAACAGCTGGGTGAGCCAAGGCTGGGAGCCGCTGGTCCAGAACATCTGGAGGACCAAAACACTCCCTAACACTCTCACAGACCAGCTTTTGTTTAGCAAAATGGGGAGTCACAAAGAAAGAGATGGGAAAAGCAGGAAAGGGAGCAAAAGACAAAGAGCGCAGGGGCCCCCCCTCACCTTGGCAACATCAAGGTGCTCGTTGAGATGGTAGCTCTTCTCTAGCGGCAAAACATCCCAAAAGCATGCGCCATTCTTACATTGCCTGAAAGAAGAACAGGAAGAATAAAGTCTGCCTTCCAGCACCATGTCCCACAACGCAGCTCCTTGTTGCAGAATCCTAAGATCTCACTCCACGGCTCGTACAGCTGTTTTTTTCGAAAAGAGGCACAAGTCTGCAGATTAGAAGCCGTGGCTGTCTAATACAGAGGGGGGGGGGATCCCAGTGGCACAAAGCAGAACAAACGTCTATCGTTTTTGTTCTTTTGTTTTTAAATCCAGCCAGCCCAACAGGAATATCTTCTCAGTGGATCTGCACATGCTCAGAGAGAGATTTCTGGTTTTGCTCCACCTGCCCCCAGGTTCTGCCTCTACCCTTAGGAATGAGGCGTTCAATGAACCCAAAACTGGGGGAAACCACCGGCCCTGAGTGTAGCTTGGGCGAAGGGTAACTCACCGGTAAGCGGTCGTTAAGTTGAGATTTTTTTTCAGGCCGAGATGCTCAGTGACGTTCATGGAAGAAGGAAGATTCCCGGGCGTGTCAATGAACTGGAGATTGAAAAGCAGGACAATGTTTAAATCCTGTTGATACTGAGAGGCTGTTCAAGTGAGTCCTGAGAGCACCGGGTGGTATGGATTTGAAGGGGGCTTTTTTCCCCCCAAACTTGAAATGAGCTGAAGTTCACTTCTGGTTTTGAAAAAAAAAGACAATGAAAAGGCCCTGCACTTTGCTTCAGAGGAAAATTGCTACCCATGGCCGTGTGTGTGTGTGTGTGTTGTTGCTGTTGTTGTTGTGTGGCGCCACATCATCTCTGACATTTGGTAACCCTATGAATGAGCCATCTCCAACATGCCCGGCCCTCCACAGCCCTGCTCAGCTCTTGTAAACAAAAGCCTGTGGCTTCTTTTGGATAGTCAGTCCATCTCATATTTGGTCTTCCTCTTTTCCTGCTGTCTTCCCCCTTTCCCAGATTTCTTGCCTTTCCCAGACGATCCTGCTTTCTCAGGAGGTGCCCAGAGTAAGACAACCTCTGGAGAGAATTCAGGCTTGGCTTATCTAGAACTCACTTGTTTTGTTTTTTCTGGCCGTCCAGGGTAGCTGCAAAACTCTCCTCCAGCACCATGTCTCAAACATACAGAGGGGCACACCTGCGCCCATTCTGACATGCACAGGCACCCAGACAGAAGAGGAGGGCAGTTTCTTTCATTACTCTTCCAACTGTGAGCTGTCTTTGTAGCACGCTTGAGTGTGGCTGAACTCTCTCTCTCCTGCCTTCATTTCCTGATTTTCCTTTCCTTTTCTCCCCCTTTTAACCTTCCTTCACACTCATTTTCCTCTCTCCTGCATGCTGGAAGCGCACCGGATAGAACAGAAGACTACAGTGACAGGAATTTCCCTTCCAAACGGAGATCAAGTGTTAATTGTTATTTGACGAGATTTAATTAATTCCTCAGCACAGTCTCTGCGTGCCAGTGGTCCCCGAGGGCAAATGAAGGGAAAAGGCTGGACGGTCTCTAATTGGACCGTTCCGCACAACCGGGCAGACACCCACCCTGGCAGGCAGAGGCGGAGGAAAGCCAACCTCTTCTCCTGTCCTGGGCTTCTGTCTGTCGGACGGGAGAGAGCCCATTTTGCTTGCAACTCCTGGATCTTTTTTCCTGGGTCCAAAGACTCACCTTGTAAATCTCTTGACTGGCCCAGTGCTTGCAGATCAAGGTCTGGACATTGCCACCCACCAGGAAGGTGCTAAAGACTAAGAGCATCAGCAGCCAGGAGAAGAGGAAGCTGAAGGCGACCCCTCTGGAATGGGAAAGAGAACCAGCCCGTCAGGTACCTCCGGCGCTGCCATCCCACCCACCCACTCCCCTTTAGTTCTTTCCTCCAAAAATGATGCAAAACAGGATCTGGAATGAACAAGCCGCCAGGCTTCTCAACGGTCCACTCCTGTCTACAGAAGCTGATGCCCTGCCCTCATTTGCCCTTGGTCTCACCATGAGAAAACATGGGGAGAATTCACCTTTGCTAGGAGAGGATGGAAAAAAAACCCCGATCAGGATCACAGGACATGCTAAGCCTTTTTTTATTTTTGCAAGATCCACGTAAGCAGCACAGAGGAAGCTAGACTCTCCCCTTGCTCCTCTGCCAGGCATTTTTCCTCGTAATGGAACCAGGTCAACCGGAACTTGTGAAGCCCTTCTACCTGTTTGCTCCATACTTTGGCGGGGGAGCCACTCCTGTTTATGGATTTTGAGCAAGCATGCAGGGGCTTTTTAACCCCATCTTCACGGCCTGAATGTCCCTGAAAATGCAATATCGTCCTAGGCATAGCAAGCAGGCCTTACGTCATGAGTAACTTGGCGCCAGCTTCTCCCTTGCTTTCGTAGTCGCTGGGATCCTTCCGCACAGCCAGCCCGTAAATGCCAAGAGAGAGTCCCAGGATGTTGCAGAAGACAATCAGTAGCACGACTGTACAGGTGACCACACCGGCAATCCACCTGGGGAAGGTGCATAAAAGAGGTGGGGAAAACATCCGTGAGCCCCGAGGCGGGTAAGGAGAAAGACCGGACTTCAGATTCTTCATCAGAAACCCATGAAAACACAAGGCACTGCTTATTGCAAATTCCAGCTGAGCCAGGAACACCGAACAAAGTTGGTGACTGTACACGGGTCCTGCGTCACAGTCTCCCCAGTCAAAAATTTTTTAAATCCAGCGACACCACAAAGCTACATCAAACCATGCCAGAGACGTTGGAGGCCAACGCCGATTCGTGCCTTTGTGAAAAGTGAGCTACATGGCAGCAACAGTCCTTACCGATGACGATCTCACTAAATGTGTCATGCTACTCTGTCACCCATCGTATCCTAGACAGATCGATTGGATCTATCTTGTGGGGTGGCTGCAAAAGCTTTTAAACTTTCAAGACCTCAGACGGTGTGAGAGTAGGCTATCAGAGGGACCGTTTTCTTTATTATGAACCTCTCACTGAGTGGAGATCTTGGTTAGAAGCTTTCCTTCGGCAGCCTTAGTCTTCTGTGGTTAGGATGATGGCTGTGTAGACATCATCCAAACACAGAAGAGACCCTATTTAGAGCCCTCATTCCTGAGGGTCATCTGCCTCCAGCAACCCTTTGTTTTGTCTTAGAGACCCGGTGAAATCTGTCTTTGTTTTCCTGAGCTCACAGTGATAAGAATCTGATGGTGGACTGTTCTGATCGTTCCACCCTTCTGCTGAACACAGATTTTTCTGGCCGCTTGTATTGTGCTATATTGTTTGCAGCCACTTCTCCCTCATTAACTGCACTCTTGGTTTAAGATGTCTGTCTACACCTATTTAAATGTGCACGCACACATACAAGCAGCGGTGCTGTCTGTTGCATCGCTACATTTTCCTCGTTAATTTTCAGGAGGTTCTATGCCATCCTACTGCCAGTTCATGGCATTCAAAGCATCTTACTCATGCCATTTAAAACAAACCTGCCATGGCTAATTACGATTAATTGACAGGGTGATTGGATGTATCTCAGTCATGTGCCTGTTCACAAACTTGCTGATGCAACTGAGACACATCCCAGGACCTCATCAATTAGCTGCAATTGGCTACGGCAAGGTACGTAGACCTTACCCAAACCCCAGCAGGACGTTGGCCCGTAACTTATGGTCTTCTCTGAGGACAGCCATGGAGTATCACGTAAGCAATCCACAAACTTTGGTCACATTAACTGGAAATGCCAAAACTTTTGGCAAGCAAAGTAAATGTTCCATCACCGGGCTCTGTTCTACCTGTATCGTTCATAATGCTTTGCTTCCTTCAAGTAAGGCCGGCTGCTGTTCTCGGCCTTCATCAGAGCATCAGCCATTGGACGAGAGTGATCTGAAATTGGGAAGCCTTCGGCCACCGACTGGACTCGTTGGGCCACTTTCTCTACTTCCACTTTGAGGTCTGCAAGACAATTGTTAAGATCAAAGGCACGCTGTTGTGAAGCCACACCTTAGGTTTTTTTCAAGCTGTGGGGTTGGACCCAAGCATAAAATAGGCCAGTGTGGGTCCAGCTCTAATATCGCCAGAATTAAATTCAACCCCACTGAGGCAAGAATCTGAGTCTTGGAATTAACTCACCTCGAATAAGCTCAGCCATTTTCAACACAGCCAGTTCTGGGATAGAGTTAAAGCTGCTGTTGGCCTAGAAATTCAGAAAACAATGTTTAATTAATATCGCAATTTTGGCCTTAGGATGAATTTTGCTTAAAGATCAGCTGGAGTCTGTTTTGACATCCAAGATCCCGTAACTACTTGCCTGGTGGATTATTTCAGAAAAGTTAGCTTTGGGAAGCCCATTCAAGGTTTTCAAAACTCTTTCCACCGAAGGTACCTGTGGAAAGAAACCACCTATAAAAAAGTAATAAGTGAACCCGATCCTGTCCATAAAAACAGCATCCATCTAAGTAATTCAATATGAATCTACAATAGCTTACTCAAATTATCTGATATTCAACTCAACATTTAGTAATTCCCATAAGCAGGAAGAAATCAGAAACTCATAGGTAAGTTGACCCTAGCGAAAAGGGGTGCAATATTTCTCTAGTAGTTCTTCTAAAAAGGTAACTGTAGTTTCATAGACCTGAGTTTGTATTAGGGCAGTGGCACCAGGCATGAGAGTGTTAAACCCTACTGGTGCATGGTGCAAATTCCCCACACAGATATACACCTTCAGCTTTTTGCTGTATGGAAAAGACATCCTATGTGGATTGGGAAAAAACAGAAAAATATCTCTATAGATAGAGAAACACACACACACACACACACACACACACACACACACAAAACGAGGCCCCAATCCTAGTTGGAGGACTGCATTCAGTTTTAACAAAGGAGCTCCAAGCAGAAATCTCTCCCTATGTCATCTGGAAGTGCCCTAATACAAATCCCGACAAGTGGCTCTACAGTCCATCTGCTTCTGAAATTGTGTGGCCTGTCACCAGCGAGTGCTGGGTGTGAAAGCTTGTGGCTCGTTCAACAGGCCCTGCCATGAACCATTCCAGGAACCGCTCTCTGACTGCTTTCCATCTATTCCTGCTCTAGGAGAACTGTGTGTTTCTGGAAGTGCGCAATGCAGACAGATAAGAGGAAAAAGTGGTGCAGCGCTAACACGGCAAGGGATTAATCTTAAAAAAAGGAACATGGCAAAAATCCAAGTCCAGAAGCATCCAGAGGGAGAACGTGGCAGGCAGGAGAGGATCTGGTGAGCTCAGATCTTCTTGAAACATTTTTATTTTCGTCAGAGAAACTTCCCTGTGACTCAACGGGTGGGTACTCTTTCACCAGCCTTCTCTAGCCTGTGCCCTTGACTCCATCTCCCATCTCCCCCAGCCATCAGACTCAGTGGCCCTGCTGGGTGAGAAGGATGGGTGTTGTATTCCAACACAACCTGAACTCCAGCGGGTGAGAACTGTTCTATACTTGGGCTTACATGTTACTGTGACCTGTTCATTTTTTTGCCATGGAAGGAAGGTGCCCTCTGATGGGTCGATGCTCCAACTTGTTCTGGTGGATGGGGCCAAGTTTATTTGAGCAGTCAGCATGTTACCTGGGCGGAAGACCTACCTGGTCCCCTGCAAAGATACCATATTCAACTGTAAGAAGAGCTCTGGACCATAGCCTGCCCTTTATAAGGATGCTCTGTGATGGAGCCAGTCTCCCCACGTTGGGGGTCCTGCACCCACTCCGGAGGAACTCACCATCCAGTAGTTCACCCCCAACTCCAAGTTCTGTGCTCTGCCCAGGGCACTAATGCAGTAGGTACACTGCGGGTCCTCCAGAAGGGAAACGATGCTGCCCTTCCGGTCTTTCAGGATTGCTTCCAGCTCTTCCTGGTGCCGGATCAGGCTCTGGACCGTTGAGTTGAGTGTCCGTAAATGAGAGCAGGAGTTCTGTAGGTCTGAAAGAGAAAGGCTGGTCTAGTTGACAGACGCGCCCCCCCCCCCAAGTGCGCTAGTCCAACCGTCCCATGCTGACAAACGTACTCTCCATGACACCTTGATGGAGGAATTAATTCCTTCTGGCATGGTGCGACTGCTGCATAATTTCTATATGATCTTTCTGAGAATTAGGAGCAAATAACCATGATGGACACCCATCTGTATCCCAGGCTCATTTCTAAAAGTGACAGATCCATGATCCTATTGAGTACAGTAGGAACACGGGGACATTCCTGCCCCTACCAATTTTTCCCCATAAAATCTGCACTTTTTGTTTTGTTTTGTCCTGACTGTGGGGCAGGGGATAAAATAGGGCAGCTTCCTGCCCTTCTCCCATTGATCCTTTCCAGACTTCTTCAGAATCTGCGCATTTGCAGATCAAAACAACAACAAGAACAACAACGGCTGTTTTTCTCCTTTGTGGAAGCATTTCCAATAGATATTATCAAAAGCAACAACAACAACTTTTAATCATCGCACAATGTCTGAAAATCCTACTGCATGACATTTCTCAGCCATTAACTAGTAATCTGCCTAACCTAGGAATGTTTTAATCATCACCCAGGAAAAACAGTGGAAAAACTGGATGAGACTACATTCTGGACAACATCTTAAATTCTGGTGGAAACAGTTGCAGATTAGCAGAAGAACCGGTTACATTAGGAAACAAGAGACAGCGATGCATCTGCAGCCAATCCATACATATAGAGGGAGGATTCGTTCATTATGATCTGATTTAAACTGGATTTGGGGCCAGACATACAGTATATAATGTAAGGGGGCAAACAGTAAAACTCCTGCTGCCGTTAATACTGTGGATTGCATTTTTGCGTTATATTAATCTAATGTTAATTGCAGCAACTTATTACACTATATACTGAATGTGTGGAATATCTAAAGTACACCACCACGACAGATACATGCTGCTCCAGGCATTAGGAGAACAAAAATGGTACTAAATAAGGTGTTCCAGGAAGGGAGAAGCCTTTTCCTCACCTTGCACCCGAGCCTTCGTGGCAGCCATGGCTGAATACACCGTCCCCTTGAGCACCAGGTGGATGGTGCTTCCGATACTCCAGCTGATATCTGCAAAGCACAAAGCCATGGGGGTGTCAGAGTCCGTACCCTTAAACGGAGCCCAAAAGTGGGCTAAGGTACAAAGTGGCCAAGAGCCAGAAAGCTCAGGCCCGGCCAGGGAAGACAACTTACTGCTCAGATCCTGGAGGATTCGCTCCTTGGGCACGGCAAACTGCTCCACTGCCCGCTGAACTCCCTGTGGGGAAGGAGAAGGAAGGGGTGGGTTTTCCAAGGCCTTTCTGGGGAAAGCAGCCTCCGAAACTTTCCACACTGTGGACAAAGAGGTGAAGGAAGCTGGGCATGGAAAAGGCACACTGGGACCAAATCACAAGAGGACATCAGGGACCAGAGATGAGCATGAGCCGAAGTTTGAACCAGGGGGAAATAAGACGAACTGGTTTGGTTCGTGCACCCCAAACTGAACCAGTTTGTTTCATTTCATTTTGCTGAAATGAAACGAAGCACCAAACTTTTCCTGTCCACTGACAGGCGGGCGAATGTGCCCCGTCAGCAGGGCCGGCTTCCGGCTAACACAAAAACAGTTAGGAAACCTGTCCCTTTAACCTCACCGCCCTTCAAAAACAGAGAAACCAAAAACCTCACACAGAATGAGTTAAGAGGGTTATTCATGTTTTACGGGCTTTTAATCATTCCATGTATTTTAATCAGTTTTTATCTTTGAGGTTTTGTTAAAATCTACAACTAATTGTGTTTTCAACTGCAATGCACGCCCCCTTGAACCCCGTGAAATAAGCCTAGAAATAAGACAAACAAATGAAGGAATGAACGGAACGCAAGAAAACGCAAAGGTGAGCTCGCGCTCGGTACGAAGGCGAATCAAGGGACTCCTGCCCAGCTTAACCACAAGCTGCTCGCTTCGTTTCCCACGCCTGGTAGACGGTCTTTTTTGCAGTTCTGGCACAGCGACCTGCTCCACTGCCATAGGCTGCCCAGTTTTCCTCACCCTCTCTCAGCGAGGCACTCACAAAGCCACACGTCACAGCCAGAAGCAGGAGACGGTGGCGTGCATGCTCCTTTCCAGAGCGCGCTGGATTTGCATCTCTGAGGACATCCGCCTGCCAGCTCCCATTAGCACACGAGGCTGTGAGAAGCCCAGCCAGCAGCAGCTGCCAGACAGGATGGGGGCCAGCAAGCGGAAGTAATGTTTGCTGAGGCCATTCTGTCCTCCCTCTGCCCTCTCTCAGAGCAGTGATGCAGGCGGGGGGGGGGGCCTTGAAATTCAGGCGGCACCGAAAACCACCTCCTGCAACCACAGAGGGAGGTGCACAGGGAACAGAGAACGGTCTCGGCATGGCACTGCGCCCCCTCCAAAACTTCTGCTGAACCATGAGATCAGATGACTCTTTAAGGCAAATGTACCTTCCCTCCATTTATCCCTTCAGGCACACAAATCTTTCAGTGCTACAGGGCCTTAGGCATCAGACATGCAAGCAAAGCCCTGCTATCTCATTTTTACCACTTATCAAACAGAAACAGGCTAATTTTCCAAATGGAGATTGAGGTAAGATCCAGTTGGGATAAACAGACCATTTTTTTCTTCCTAAGGGTGCACCACTTCTAAATGTGGAATCAGAGTCTCATCTCATGAGGCTCTTATACCCACTCTCCAGAATGACTCCCCTTCAGAGGTGTTTGCTGACCACTCCCACCAACCCCAGCTAGCATGTTGCTTTGCAGGTGATCTGGCTAATAAAGACCGCAAAGTTCACACAACACCGACTTTGCGCAGAGAGGAGAATGAACCAGAAGTGGCATCCACTCACCTGTGGGATACCATTCACATGGTGCCTCAAAGCCTGCAAGGTGTTTAAGGCATCTCGGACACCAGGGTCCATCTCTTCTTTCACCTTCTGATTGGCTGCAAAAGCACAGATGACGCCACCCCTGAAAGAAAAAGCAGTTCCAGTGTGGGACAAGGAACGACATAAACTGGTTTCGCACATACACATGCTGTTGGAAGATTTGCAACCTTGCAGGCTGCCTTTAGTAGGTTTGGCTGGGAGGGCATTTTCTTGGCTGGGGTGACTATCAATCTATCCAGCACTAGCCAATCATTCCTTCCCTGCCTCTGAATTCAAAGAGAGCCCCGCCTTTCTGTTCTGTGTCTTTCCCCCTCTCTTTGGAAGCTGTCAGTGAGTCTGCTGAAGTCTGTTGCTGAAAGCAGTCATGTCTGTTAGTTTGCTGTTTGATCTGTTTCATTGTAAGTAATGGGACCTTTTATATCTCAGAGACTACAAGTGCCAGTTGATGAGAAAGTGGTGGACTAATCTAGAGAACTTGAACCTATTCTGCCCTGTGAATCCCTGCAGTTCTGCTGGACTTAAACAAAAATCCAAAGTTCTGCAACACATACATCTCTACAAACCTGTGGCCTTCATAATGTACTCTCAGGATCTGAGGAAGTGCCGTGTCATCCAGGAAAAACTCCACTCCAACAACTCTTTAAGCTGCTTTGGTTTTGATTTTGGCTTTATTTTTGTTATGTGTACATCTCAGTGGCTGCTAGGGTGTGGGACCTGAAGTCCCACCTTCCTATCTAGTTCTTGAGGCTACAGATCTATTTCTTCATGTATCTACAGGAGATGCTCACTAATTTTTTTCCAAATGCTATGCTCCTTTGTGTGCTCTGTGCCCGGACCCCCGATCTTTTGAATGCTTTGCAAAATGCCTGCATTATGCTCCCATTTCTTTGGCCTTGATGACTAAATACAGGACGGCTGGCAGACCACCGAATATCGAAAAGGAGGGGGGGGAGCATGGTGTAGGAATGAAACAGGAGCGGCTCTGTTATGGTTCACCTCCTTGTTATGACACTGTAATTAAGGGATGGGTGTGCAAGTACGAACAAGTCCATCCCTGAGCTGAAAGCTCTCAGGAGGGTGTTTGTAGGATTTCCGGGTTTGGGGCAAGTGAGTTTGAGTTGGCCCTTCTGTCACCTTTTTCCACCAAAGAACAGCCTTTTGTTCCAACTGTACCCCTGGCTCCTGATTCCGCTTTTGCTTTCCAAACAGTCTGACTCCCCCTCGAAACAAAAGCCAAACGTTGCTCCACGATTCCTTCTCTGGAGCACAATCAGGCCAAAACAGCATCCCCTGGGAGGTCTAGTTAAGTGTCTGAAGACCAACACGTCAAATAAATAGGAAACACGGTGGCAGCACCAACATCGCCTCGCAATCCTTCTGCAAATAGATGGAATTACAGTATCCTCCTCTTAGAATTGGAGAGCTGGGAGGGCCCTTATGGATCATCCAGTCCAGCCCCTGTCAAGGAGGCACCGTGAAGAATTCGAATTACGAGCCACTGGCTCTGCAGCCAGACAACTGGTTGCAAAAAAAAAAAGTGTTGAACCAGAGGCTGTCCTACTTTGGGCACATAATGAATAGGCAGAATTTGAATTACAGTATCCTCCTCTTAGAATTGGAGAGCTGGGAGGGCCCTTATGGATCATCCAGTCCAGCCCCTGTCAAGGAGGCCCCGAGAAGAATTCGAATTACGAGCCACTGGCTCTGCAGCCAGACAACTGGTTGCAAAAAAAAAAAGTGTTGAACCAGAGGCTGTCCTACTTTGGGCACATAATGAATAGGCAGGATTTTCTGGAAAAGACCACCATGCTAGGAAAGTTGGGAGGCAGCAGGAAAAGAGGAAGACCCAATACGAGATTGACTGACTCCCTCAAGGAAGCCACTGCTTGAGTTTACAAGAGCTGATCAGGGTTATTGAGGACAAGGCATTCTGGAGAGGGCTCATTCATTCATTCGAAGAAAGACAAAGGTGTTTCTAAACCTGTCTAAACACAATGTCTCAAGCCCAGCCCAGTAAAACCAAGGGCTATCAAGTCATCCTTTTTTCTTTCCCTGAGTGGTCAGGGCCCAAGTTTGAAACTTGGCAACTCGATGTAATTCTGGAAGAACGGGGCTTTAGAGAGATTGGTAGGTAAAAGCTGTTGAAATCCTTGCCTGCCGTATCTCCGATTCTCAAGTTTCCTATCTGAGAATACACTCAAAATGTTTAAAAGCACAAAGAGGTGCACTTCCCACACCTTTTATTTTCCACCTAGCTGGCTGCTTGAGTAAGATGCGAAGCCAACCACCTCGAACTAAAACACGGGAGCCTTGTCGGAGTAGGAATGAGCCTCCTGTGGCTCTTCAGATGCCAATGAACTCCAAAACCCATCATCCCCCAGCAGCCAGTGCAGATGGCGACCTGCGGGCACCCTGTCTAGAAGGTTCTGCCTTCTTTCCCAACCCCATCCCAGCCTCTGGATGCCGTGCACCACTGGAGCCCCTTACACTTACAGGATGACCAGCGTGGTCAGGAGCAGAGAAAACACGAGAAGGTTGCGTTGACAGAGGAGCGAGCGCCGGTAGGCCTTGATCCGTGTGCCGCAGCGCCGGTGCCTCCGGCAGCAGCAGAGGCTCAATCCGATCATGGGCAGCGTCACAAAGTAGAGGACGGCAATGGTGGCGCAGATGATGTATCCCGTTTGATACTGGAGGATCTGCCGGGAAAAGGAATAGACACATCTGAAAAACTGCTATTTCTGGATCCCTAAACAATGGCTTTCTATTTTTTTTTTAATTGCAAAATGCCTGTCGTAAAGACAGACTGCATGCAGGAGACAGAAGAAGGCATGGACACATGTGGACGAATACCTATTTTATAAATAAAGGATCAAGAATGGCAGAGAGATCTTCAAAGTCTCATTGGGCTGAGAGACTTCCGATGTCTGAATCTCTTTCTAATACCTGCCCCAAAAATCTAGGGTTAAACTCTGCCCGTCTTTCATAGGTCGTCCCTTCCACAAACGCTGTCTCCATCCATCTTCAACATCCTCAAACAGCATTCCTCTCCTCCCCATCCATGTGAGATGATCCCTCAAACAACCTTTATATGCAAACCATCCCCTTGGACGTATCACAGCCAGAAAATGCTTTCGCCTCTAAGGGTTAGAGATTAAACTGTGATCAGAAGCACACCTTCTGAGCTCATACGGTCACTAACTTTGATCCCATCCGATCCCAAGGCAGATCTTCATCTTCACTGTTTCTCACCTGAGACGTTCTAGCAGAGGGCGGGTCATTGAAGGCATCCCTCAATAGTTCTGTGGAACAAGGCAAGTGATTGGCAAATATTCAGACACAGAGATCCAGGTATTTATCACACAACCAAGGCCCCTGTTATCCATCCTATAAATCTCACGCCCAATCATCATCTGTCTGTGTAAGGTTGCACTAGCTATAATTTCTGTCTTTTTCAAAGCTGTGGCTAGGTTAGTTGGTCCGAGGGCATCCACAAGAAACACAAAACCAAACAAAGCTAAAACAAAATCAAAGCTGAAAAATAAAGATGTCATAGCACCTTAAAGACAAACGGGTATATTTTCATGTCAGCTTTGGTGGAACAGGGCCCACGTCCGCAGACCCAAGAGTCCAATGCGTACACCAGATGTATATTTATCATTCATAGGGAAATAGGAGAAACCACTCATTGTCCAAAGACCTTTTAAAGAGGAATCACCACTTCCCCAAAGCCTGTTGGTTTCTTAAAAGCTATCAGTAGGACAAAGAGAAGGAATTGAATCAAGGCATGAACGTCATCTGAGCGACCCTGATGGGAAGCTACCCATTTTTAAGATGTGCCTTCCTGAATCCAGGGACAGGACCACAGAGCTGGGTCCAGTCCCATCTGTTTTGGACCTTAAATAAGTCCCGCTGGGAGGGATATCTGGGCAAAAACCTGAAAGATAGGAGCCGCATTAGAGGATCCATCTTTGTGGGGTGACAGAGCAGATAGACAGCCACCGCTGGGTGGGATGTAAAGAAAATATGGAGCTTGCGCCATGAATTTAAAGGCTAACATGCTGCCGCCATGAGTATGACTTTCTGCTGGGAGGGGTTTGCAGGCTGAAGACTAGGATACACAAAAAGAAACAAGTGCATTTGTTAAAGAAAAGAAAGCCGGAAGGAAGGAAGGAAGGAAGGAAGGAAGGAAGGAAGGAAGGAAGGAAGGAAGGAAGGAAGGAAGGAAGGAGCTGATGGATGGATGGATGGACGGACGGACGGATGGATGGATGGATGGATGGATGGATGGATGGATGGATGGATGGATGGATGGATGGATGGATGGGAGCAGAGGCTGCTGGGCATCCTGCCCCGGCACCCAGCTGGACATGGTGCAGTGCTTGCCAAGTGAATCCTTAATGATTCTGTGCACAGAACCACACAGTTGGAGGACTGCCCCACAATATTTAGAGCACATTTCCAGCCAAAAACTGCCATAATCACCCTGTCAGTGGCGCGGCCTTGGCCTTCCCCTCTGCCACCCCTTGTCCTCCACTTGACATGAGTTAAGACTATGGACAGGTGGGCTGATAGCTAGTCGTATGCCAACTGCACCTAAGGCAAGCCCGCTCCCTGCCTGCACCGGCCGTGCTTGCCGGTGGATCATGGGAAGTGTAGTCCAAAAAGAACGACAGCTTCTCTGTCTCGGGCCCTGGTTCCTGGCTCAGAGGATCTCTGGAGGAGCGGCACCTCTCAGAGGGGACACCCTCGTCCTGTGCCATTATCCTATCTCTTGCAGATGATGGCCTTTCCCAGGCCCCACAGACCTCACTCGACAAGTCACAAGGCTACGTTTCAATTCAGAGTACATTCCAAGCAACGCAGCTGCCCGAGTGGCCCCAAGAGCAGCGGCAAAGCCTGGCTTACTCCAACCAAGGAGCAGGATCCAGCCCCATAGAAGGACAGTGCAGGCAGACCTCCTTCCAGGTGGCTATCGCTGCATCAGCAAAAAACAGATCATTTAACTCCCTCGACAGGTGATGAAAGGGAGAAGGAAACGAGGCAACACGCAGGTACTGGAATGGTTTTCATCCTCCGCTGGGCAGGAAAGAAAGAAAGAAAGAAAGAAAGAAAGAAAGAAAGAAAGAAAGAAAGAAAGAAAGAAAGAAAGAAAGAAAGAAAGAAAGAAAGAAAGAAAGAAAGAAAGAAAGAAAGGCATTTTACTCCCTGTTAGTTCAGGGTCATAGCCTGGAAGCCAAAGAATGGACACCCCACCCCACCCCAATACCCAAATCTCAGGGTGAAAGCTTGAGACTGGGCAACCCTTCCCTCTCTAGCAGATGGAACTCACACCCTCATGTATTTAGGGTTGCTTGTGGCCATTAATTCTCTGTTGGAAATATATGACAAATTATAATTGCCCCAAACTCTTCTGGAAGCCACAGGGGACCTGGAATTCTAAGGCCCTGGAAAGTATAATCTTGTCGAGGGCAGGAAGCGATCAAGGCAGCTAGTTATCAAAGGGCAAAGCTTAGCAATTTGTTAGATTGTTGACTTACAGATCAAATATTGGTTGTTCTAAGGATCAGCGATTTCATGGAGTGATTATTTATTTTGTCTTTCAAATGGTTTTGTAGCTGGTGAGCATTTTATATCTAGTATGTATCTGTATATTTGAACATTTAAGTCCTCTTAAGTCCGAACTATGGCAGAACTGTAAAAAGAAATACGTTTGGCAAACATTAGAAAAGGGTGGAAGAAAACTGGATTACATCTAAGGGAGGTGGTGTCTCCCTTTAAGAGTTAAGGACCAAAGGGCAGTGACTTTTAAAAGGGTCTCCATCAACCGAAATTGCTTATCGGGTTTTGCTGTGGGGAGAATGCAGAGAAGGGACACCATGAACATTTGGGCTGCTCAACGGAGCGCCACGGAGAGTTCAGAGGCAAGCTGCCAAGATCACCTCCATGACCCGAGAAAAGAGGTGTAGGAGGGCGCTTCCTGGACTAACACAACCAGCTCTTCCTGCTGATGAGATCGGATGCAGGGAAATGATGATGCTGTTGTTCCAGGGCCCATACAGGGATCTTTCCACCTCCCTGCCCAAGAAGGAAGGAGGCAGAAGTGAACAGGGTCCTAAGACAGTTAGGTCTTGGAGTGCCAACCCATCCCAACCATCTTCTGGGTCTTTCAGAGGCTCTGGGGATTTTCTCTGTCGCCTTGGTTCTAACTAAGAGGGTCCGTTCTTCCTTTGTTGGTCTGCTGCTCCTCCATATTCCTAACTAGCTTGCTCTGAAGGTTTTAGCTGATCTCTGCAGGGAGAAAAGCAGGCCCTGCTGATTTCTGCAGCTCACCCGTCTCCTGAAAGCATCAAGGCAGACCAGGGGGTGGTTCCTTGCCAAGAATACATTTTTTCCTGGTCTGCCGGCCACCGAACCTGGAAATAGACAACTTACCTGTAGGGAAAGAGTTCTGTTGAATCACATCAAGAAATGTCTGGACGAAGCCATAGAGGGGATCCAGGGAACCAGGGGCTCGGCGGTGGGCTGGCACCCTGTGGTCAGCACCCACGTCGGCAAACTGGAGGGGGAGGGGAGGGCTCCCCAAGGAGCATGGCTGCAAAAGGGCAGGATCCGGGAGAGCAACGGCAAGGGCCAGTAACAAACCCAGTGAAGATCCCATTCCAGAGGTCCGGATTTCCTGCTTGCGAGGCCTGGGCGGGTTCAGGAACGGACCTCGGCCACGGCTGCAAGAGGGAAGGCTGTGAGAAGGGACAGATCCAGGGCTTCAGAGGTGGGAGCCTTTTTCTTTCCTTTGAACCAGCAAAAGGGAAAGATCGCTCCTCCTACAGTGGCTGGCTTTTTTTTGGGGGGGGGGCTTTGTTTTCCCCCTTAGCTGTCCTTCAGTCCTCCCAAACCTGGCGTGAAGCGCAGAAGGGAAGGTGAAGGGGAGACATGCCTGCCGCTTTGGGGGGCCTGCCTCTCCGTCCGGCTCCTCTCTCTGCAGCTGCAGAGCCTCCAAAGAAAGAGAGAGAGAGAGAGAGAGAGAACGGAAAGGCTGCCAAGCAGAAACCTGTCAAGAGAGAGAGAGAGAGAGAGAGGAAAGGCTGCCAAGCAGAAACCTGTCGGACTAGTTCGGGGCTGGTTGCTCCTTGGGGCCGCCTCCTTGTCGGGTTTTCAGCTTGTGGGGTGGGACAAGGTGGGGCAGCCGCTCAGAGTGGAGAGGGAAGAGACTGTGAATGACCAGCTTTTTCCCAGGAGTCCTTAAAGGCTCCATCTTCCCTCTGCCTGATCTGGGTCCCTCTCTTTTCCTGCGTCAACCGACTGCCCGTGCGCAAATTGCCACAAAAGGGGGGTGACTATGTTTAGCAAATGCACGGTAGGTCCACACTTGAAGGGGGTGAGACTGGGCGTGCGTGCAGCTCCGATAGTCAGACTCCCAGCCCTTTTTGTTGTGTGGTGGTGGGGTGTTTGCTCACATATTTTGAAAAGTATAGGCACCCGACAGGATTGGGGCCCATCAGGTGACGGGGCATTCAGAACAGCCTTAACACACTTCAGGACCACTTGCAGAATATCTAAGCAAAGTGTGCTGCATATATACCCACCTCATAGTGCATAAAATAATTTCTGGCTGGTTTATAATTTTTCATTATGCAGGCTACACCTTGCCCCCTTCCAGCAACCTGGGTTCTCAATTTACCCATCTCGGAAAGATGGAAGGCTGAGTGAACCTTGAGCAGGTTATCCGAAGCTGTTGGGATCAAACTCAGGTCCTGAGCAGAGTCGTGACTGCAGGACTGCCGCTTAACCACTGTGCCAGGAGGTTCCTTTAAAATATTTATATGGCCACCGACCTCTAATCTGGGATTCATTGCTCTAACGAAACCTTGCATTCTTAAATCTCCAGTTTATGGATTAAATTGTGGGTGTTAGAACTGCTAGAAACCCAGTGGTCAGTTTTGCCAGACCCACTTGCTTGAAATCTTTGACGGGTGCACCTTCAAAACACACGTCAATTAAGGGTCAGGAGGACTCTCCTGCTTCTTTGGTCAGGAGAGCTATGGCAGATCCCTCCCGTAAGCGAAGCGGCATGGCCAAGCCCCTCAGCCTAACCATGGGCGGAAACCTCATCGAAGAATAGCTGAACGAGCGGGCGCAGGTCGGACGCCAGCATTCCTGCAGTCTAGCCGGGACTTGTCCATGAAGATTTTACCAACCGCGAGGCCTCCAGCGGAGAGCTTGCCTAGACAGCTTCCTTATGAGAGGCAGCCACCCTTCGTAATAGGAGCCTTTGCCAAGCGGGGCCTGGCCAGCAAGGATCGTCACAAACCCTCTCGACAAGACAAGACCTTCCCCCTTCCATCTTGTAACCACAAACTGCAGGAATGAATCGTTCAGTTTCTCTTGCACACATGAGGCTCTTGGAACCCCAGTATACCTTGAAGACAGAGCAAGTAGACCGCCCCTCCGGTGTCGTCCCTGAACCGTAGTATGTCTTCAAGAGAGAGCAGCTGGACTGGACCATCGATCTCCTACCTTTTAACACAAAACCAGGAGATTGGGCCCTTCTGGGAATGTGACCCAGAGATGGAAGAAGCAGACGGTGTAATTTGGGCCAGGGCTGGGATCTTATCTCTCGTTCAGAATGCAGCCTCCTCCCGTTTCCCTTCGTCCCCCAAGCAGTGAGCTGTAAACATGGAGAGTGGGTTGCTCGGGCAGACCTACCGACCGAGAGATGCTTCCAGTGGCAATGAATCCGAAAACCTAATCTGGTGGTATAATCCTTGAGATGCTGTCAGCTGCAATCACCTTACAAGCAGAGCCCGTTGTTGCTTAGATATTCCTCTTTGTGCTTTGAAACATTAAACAGGATTCATAAGAGCCATTCTGCCTCACCGCTTGGCTATTGCCGTGGCACGATAAGAGAATTGTTTCAATTTCACATCCGGTCCCTTTTTTTGGAACCAACCTTAAAAGACCCGGCCCTTGTTTTTGCCTTCTCTTCTTCTGTAGCTCTCTGACTTCCTCTAGTGGCTCATGGCAGGCACAACCACGAGATGCCAACGGAAAAGGCTCTTTGTAAAGTAAGGTTGTAGTCGGACATGGGAATACAGAGAAGTGGTTTCCCTTCCCTTCTTCTGGGAGGGGGGATGCTCTGGAACTGTGCAGCTGGCCCAAGGCTACCCAGGCTGGCTCTTCTCCCAGGAGGCACAAGTGGGGAATCGAACTCCCAACCTCTGGCTCTGCGGCCACTGGCCAAACCCCACCCCACTCCAAAGCTAGCTGGATAGCTCAGTGGTTTAGTATCTGGTTGTGGAGCCAGAGGTTGGGAGTTCAGTTCTCCAGTATGCCTCATGAAAGTAAAGCCAGCCTGGGTGGCCTTGGGCCAGCTGCACAGTCCCAGGGCACCCCCTAGAGGAAGGGAAGGGTAAAACCACTTTGGAGTATTCTCTACCTGCAAAACCCTAAAAGGGCTCACCTTAAGCCAGAATGCAATTGCTATTATTATATTATTATATGGAACGGCTTGGTTCAATTTATTTTCCAGCAACTCGGCAACGTACAGAGGATTGCGAGCCAGCCCGGCCCTGCTATAGACCCAATCTGGATGTTTTTGGTCCAGTGGCAGACCTACATTTGGGGTGGGAGGGGCGGGGGCAGGAGCAATCAGGATCAGGCCACATGTAGGATCCCTTATAAATATAGGATCCCTTTAAATTCTGCACCCAGGGAAGCAATCCTTTCCAGCATGAACCAACGTGATCTTATATCACCCGATCACTTAAATCACACCCTTCCCCCCCCCCCCGACTGGATGAGAACAGTTACCTGCCCTACGGCAAATGAGGGAAATGGTTTCTGGGGGAAGGAGCGGCACTTTCTGAAGCACCCTTTTTATTATTCTTCAGAGGAGCCGTGTTTCTCCAAATTGACAGAGCTTTCCTGTGATCACAACAAAGCCCGGGGCGCCTCGCGGACATACATCACAGCAGGCTCATCACTCAGGATGGTGCTCTAGTTTCTTTTTCTGCCTTGACGAACGCGTGACAGAATGCACGCTTTAAATTTTAATGAGTTAAGCTGAATCGCAAAAAATGAAAGGTTTCCGAGTCTTTAAAACGGTAGACTTGCAGACGGCCCATGAAACATGCATGAGCTTGAAAGCCTAATTTTGTTTCTCAGTAAGCAGGGAGATAAAATTCTCGTGGGGTGGGAAGGGGGTGTGAACTCCCTGCCCTTCCTCCAGATCCATCATTTGCTGGTTTCTGGTGAGCCAGAGTCCTTGGGTCCGGTGCAATCCTATGTATCTAACCCCGAACGTAAGCCACATTGAGTTCAATGAGTCGTACGCCCAGAGAAGTAGGCACATAGGGTTGCAGCCTGAGTATTTTGCAGGCAAGGGAAGAGAAGCTGCAATACAAGTTAAATGCAGATCATAGGAAAACAGAAAAAACAAGATCAATTAAATCAAAGGTCCTCAGCCTAGGATTTTTCTCCATCATTGGCCCCGGAGGCTTCTGATAGGAATAGGGCAGAACCGTGGAGGAAGCATAAGGCCTTCTTCGACCATCTGACTGGAGAAATGTAGTGCAGGAGATGGTCTACAAGAACTGCTGCACACACCTGGTGTGTGTATGTGGTGGGGGTGGCAGGTACCCCCCCATCCTTCACGGTCTCCATAAACGGCAGTTGCCAGAGCTAGACCCCACCAAAGCAAGCTAAGGATGGGCTCTCGAGACCCTCTACTTTCTTCTGTCCCTTCAGAGCTGGTGTGATGCTTAGGGAGCCCTCTGGGGTCTTTTTTTTCCACAGGCTGGCCCTTAGGACTGGAATAGTTCCTCTTTCTTATGACCCCCACAGGCCTTGCTTAGGGGTGAAAGGAAGGAAGGATGCTGCACACTTGAGGAGAGGGCATGGGACCTCCTCCAACCCAACCCATCTTTCCAGGTGACTCAAGAAGGCCACAGTCCTGCCCGTGGGGCCATTCCTCCGTGGCCTCCCACTCTTCCCAAAGAATGCCTCATGGAATTCATCTCCAAATGCCCCTGAAAACCAGCCTTTGCAGGGTGGAGGATTCCCAACTGCTGGCCCTGCTGACCAAGGTGGACTGGCAGAAGAAGCTGCCCCCATCGCTGCAGATCCCATCTCCATGGAGATGGGGATGATGGTGTCAGCTGGAGCCAGGGACACCGGGCCCTCCTGAATCATGGACACACACCCCTGTCTGATAAAACCTCCATGGGCTCTGGGTGGCACTGGCCCCATTGGGCCTGGGCACCATCTTTCTGGGGGTTTGCTGTAGAGGAGGTGCTAGCGGCAGGAAGACATATATATTATTTTGTCGCTGAATTATATCTGTTGCAAAAAGAAGACAAAGAATTATGGTGTTTTGAAACTAAATTAAATAAAGATGTGCCATTCCAGTTGCACAGCTGTGCCATTGCGTCACTTCCAATATATTGCAATTCTCACAGGGCTTTTGTGGGATGCGAGATGTTCAAGGAGCCATTTACTCCCCCCTTGCTCCCTGTGAGTTTCCACAGTGAAGCAGAGATTTGAACCTGAATCTCACCATGCTGTGCCCTAGACTGCGCTGGCCCTCTGCTGTCAGAGAACATTTTGGGGGTGGGAGGAACCCCCCTACTAATAAGTTACCCACGACGGGCCTCGTGAACAGACCCTCAATGCAAAGAAAGCAGAGTTTCAGGTTGTCTCTTTGCTGGAATATTTTGAGAGGAGCAGCATGGTACGCCTGAATTCTCCACACCCCACGGGTTGTCTAAATGCCGCACCACCTAAGACTTCCATGTCTCCCCACAAATATAGCTGGTCATGTGAAGACAACACCAGCTTAAAGACCAGAACATGAATGTGTACAGAGGGATGAACACTTTATTGTAATTAATTAAATTTTCCATATCAAGTCAGGAGGTGCAGAGATGGCGCTGTCTTCCGTGAGACACGTCCCTTATGCCTCAGAAAGACTGTTCATTGTGAGGGATCTTCCTGTCCATCCTGGCCTCGCCACTTTGTAAATCTCTTCATGAAGGCATTACAGAGGCAGTGAGAGAAGATGATGGACCTTTTTTGACTTCCTTCATGCCTTTTCTCATTAGGGAAAACCCACCACCTTTCTGCCCACCACCCATCATTAATTCATTGGTGAAACCTGACTGGGACTTCAAACAGTCATCATAGAAGCCAATCTAGAGGAACTTCAAGACAGCAGACGGACTATCCTATTCTGTGTTAAGCAGCAACGAACACTCAGCACATCAAGCTGAGAACCAGATGCAATGGTAATATATGTGCACATGTGTACATTAAAAGGTGTAGGCATGGAAGTGTTAATAACATGAACAGCTTTGCTCAGATGTTGTGAATGAAATATTTCCTTTATTGAGTAGCAGCACCTTTACAAGTTATTGATTTCCTTGTAGTTAAGTATATATAGGATTTCAGCCTGGCTACACTATTAGTCACATTGACACAGAAATAAGTTCACACTGGGGCTTACCTGGCAGCAGATGCAATAAAGAGTCTGCCATGTTTCAATTGGTGCTAAAATGTCTTATTGGTTAGGTGCTACTGAGTGAGTGCGTTGACAATTTAAAAAAAATAGGCCAAAACTGTTGAGCACAAATTAAATTATGCATTTTAAAAGGCTTGCTGGGAAAATGGCATTAATTAGAAGGGTCAACGAAGGCATACTGAAGTGAGGAAGGTCAGCCCCAGTGTTGGGACATAGCTCTTCCTTCCAGCCCCCCAAAGGCTGGTTTTGTGAACAAAACTAAAGAGATATGATGGGAGAGATAGAAGGATGACTTGCTTCCAGTGTCAACAAAGTGCCTTGTCAAAGGGAGCCGACAAGCGGTAGTAAACATCTAGGCCAGTATCCTTTTTAATGTTGGAAGTGTTCGCACAGCACTCAAGCTGAAGAAGGCATCCGTGCAACCTGATCATGTGGCCCCTCGTGAACCTGGCCACACAAGACCAGCACCTGAATCAGACCCAGGTGGCAGATTCTTTGGTCAGAGTTCCTCGTGTGTACGTCAATATGGAACAGGAGATGTGCTGGTCCGCTTTGGATGCCCTCAAGAAAACTTTTGCGAACGATGAAATGCCGCACAACATTTCGACATAGCGGGTGCCCCAAAAGACATCATTTGTGCAAGTATCCAAGCGCTTCCAGAAGCAGAGTCTGCAAAAGCTATCTTTCAGAACTTCGCCAGTCATCATGTTCATGGGCTTGACAGGAAGGCTGGCGTGTTTGGTGGAAGGCTCGACTTTCCCCCAAAGTGGCTAGCCATGCTGAGCGGTAGATCCGGGAAGTCCAGAAATAGTAACAACCAGAACTTTTCCCAAGTGTTGACTCTTGGTGTGCCTGCGTATTTGTGCATGCAGTTCTTCCACTGCTCAATTTTTGGCCACAAGATTCATGTGTTTCATCCCAGGAATGATGTCTATATGACATGAAATCCAGGAGTGTGTGGCTGCGTACACATCTAAGTCAACAGAGGAGGGTGAGTGAGTGCCTGTGAGGACCTTTCTGTACTGTGTAGAAGCGTGTGCATCATTCAAGGGCCCAGATCAACCCTTTCTTAGTAAGTAGGGGTGGACATCCAGGAGGAGGGGATTGGGTGGAGCGTGAGTAAGCAGCTGTGCTCCAAGGGATTACACTGTGCAGGTGCCATTCGACGTACGTAGGAGGCACCTCCAGTGGACAAACAGGCATGGGTGTGTGTGCACAAGGCAGGGCAGCTGACCACCCACCTACAAGCTGAGGTCTACTATAATATGCTTGTAAACCAAGGTGTTCCCCTTGAAGCTGGGCGCTAGCAAGATATTCATGCCCTCTAACGGGATGGGGCGGAAAGCTCGTGGAGCTTGGACGGAGAGTTCCTGGAACTTCACAAACTTCTGCTTCTCTTCGTCCCACAGGTAGATGTGTGTGAAAGAGAAGTCACTTCCCAGGGCCATGTACTGGCGCTGGGAGACCCGGAAAGGCTCCATGACCATGGACCCTCGGGAAGGCAAAGTCTGCACCTCCGTGAAACGTTGGCCTTCCCATTTGACCACCTTGGAGTCGCCGATGTAGCGGCTGAGGCACAGGTAGTTGTCCCTCTTGATCCGGAAGTGCTTCACCATCTGGACGTCCATCACCTCCGCCACGTCCCCCAGGTGGACAAACTGCTTCTGCACCCGGTTCCACTGGTAGATGATGGGTGCCTGAGAGCTGCTGGAGATGATCAGCCGTGGCTTGCCGTCCATCTCCACGTACTCCACGTCGGTGTCCCGGTGCCAAGAATGGAGGTCTTGGTGGGAATAGAAGCCATTCTGGTTCCAGCGGTAGAGGCTGGTGGATCCGGCTTTGGAGCTGTCAGCGATGACAAAGAACCACTCGCCCTCGATCTGGAAGGCTTCGATGTCGTTGGGCTTCCGGATCTTCTGGCTGTCGATGTCTTGGATCTTGATGAACTTGTGGATGTTGGTGTCCCAGCGGTAAATGTAGGAGCCTCCGAAGAGCTGGGCCACCACGATGTACAGCTGGGACTCGGCCACGATCGGTTTGCAATAGACAGCCGAATGAGCTGGAAGAGAGCCAAGGAGAGCATCGTCAAAGACCAAAAAGAGAGGACAGCAATCCCTTGATTTCTGTTATAGGGAAAATATATTATGTGTCAACCTGAACTCACATAGCTATCTAGTTCTGACTGGGTTCTTCTATAAAACACTTCAGAGGTTTTCACAAGTCACATAAACATGGTGCTGGGAGGTCTTTAGAAATAACCTTCTCCAACCTCTTGGCACTCCATGAGGTCTGGAACTACAAGGGCTGTCCTATCCAGACACCAGGGATGATGGAACTGTTTTCCCATCCATCTGGAGAAGGCTGGGCTAAAGTCAAAACACCCAGCGTCTCTTTGCCGTTATGGGGCAGTGGAAGCAGGGGGAAGGCCAAGCTGTCTGTTTCATATTAGTTTTAGAACAATCTTTGTAAAAAAAAACAACAACAAATTCGATCGTAATAAACATCAAACAATAATTTCCATGTTTTATGAAACATTTGTTTTTGAGATCAGACCCTCCCACAGGGCCCTGTGACCTATGTAAAAGCTAAATCACTACCTCCAGGGGCTTTCAGGAAAATCAGTTCACTGCCCTAATCTAAAGTGTTAGCAAAGCAGTTTAGCGATCTGGCTTATAAAAAAAAACCCGAGAAAACTCTGGCCCACACCTCACCTTTGACACCCTAATTGGCCTTAGGTGAGTTGCTCACTTTCTGTCTCGGTCTTCCCATCTATAAGACAGGGATCAGAATCCTAATCAACCTTTGGCTGCTGTCTCGACTTGGCAAGACAATAAATTAATTTATTTTTTATTTATTTATGTGCTGCCCACTTTACCCAAAGGTCTAAATACATGGAGGGACTGAGCATGTGCAGAGTGTCTTCCCCTTGTCATAGGAGACCTGTAGCTCTTCTCATCTCTGGCTTTCCCTGGTAAAAAAAGACATGGAGGGACTGAGCATGTGCAGAGTGTTTTCCCCTTGTCATAGGAGACCTGTAGCTCATCTCTGGTCTTCCCCGGTTAAAAAAATTTAAGGTCTGGGGCTCCCACAAAGCCACACGGAGTCAGTGACTTGTTTATTTCAGCGTCAAGAGGAAGTGCATGTAACAAATGCATGCTGAAATGTCACAGGCATTTCTCTTTGTGAACTCTGAGAATGCCTTTTGGATCTAACTTCTCGAACCTCTCTTTTCACACAGCCAGCCCCATTTCCCTCCTTGCCCCACCACACGTAGCTGTTCCACCCATGCTCCTTACCGGGAATCCGGTCAAAGTCCCTCAACTTGCGCTCCACGTAGTCCCACTTCAGGATGGTGCAGCTGCTGGAACTCGGCTGGGCCAAGGCCACGTAGAGGTCGCTGGCGTAGAGGAAGGGCTCGGCCGACACCGACTGGAAAGGCAAGACTTGATGCACCACAAAGTCTGGCAGGGGGAAGAAGGAAAGGAAAGCCGTGCATCCAAACCAATATTCCCAGACCATGGATAAGTAAATCGGCGGATACTGATTCCCGCAGATAAGGAGGTCCTACTGTACACTCACAAAGTTAGGGAGGAACAGGTGCTTAAAGGCAAAGGATTTAACATCAACCCCCCACCCCAATTCCTGATTCCATACATCTTGTGATGTTTTGGAGCAAGCAGATGTTTGAGTTCTGTCTTATGGCCACCCTCGCAGCGTTTCCAAGGTGTGTCAGCTATGTCGGGAAGGGTTTTACTCTTGATATTCCCCCATGAGTTTCCGTGGCTGAGGGGGGGGATGTAAGCCCAGGGTTGCTGAATCCTAGTTGATGTTCTGTCAGCTAAGGAGGACACCCCCCCCATATCTACAGGGAATTGAAAAACATGGATTACAGCAAACACTATTATAATAAGGGATGCTCTACCTAACAGGGTCTCTGGCTCCCTCTCGTGACATTGTTAAAAATAGAAATTTAGTTTCCGTGGCTGAGGGGGGGGATGTAAGCCCAGGGTTGCTGAATCCTAGTTGATGTTCTGTCAGCTAAGGAGGACACCCCCCCCATATCTACAGGGAATTGAAAAACATGGATTACAGCAAACACTATTATAATAAGGGATGCTCTACCTAACAGGGTCTCTGGCTCCCTCTCGTGACATTGTTAAAAATAGAAATTTAGGGGATTTTTCCCTCTCGTGACATTGTTAAAAATAGAAACTTTGGGGATTCTTCTTTTAATATTTTCAATATTTTCTGACTGTGGATAAATAAATCAGTGGATACTGATTCCTGCAGATCAGAGGGCCCCACTGTACACAACACTGGCACTCAAAACAGATGCTTACTGCAGATGAATTGCCACAAATGCAGTAACAGGGATTTTATTTTCTCCTACAGATTCAGGCGTTAGGAGCACAGATCCCTGTGATGACTTGTCCGTTCTACCCTGAGCATGGCAGATATTGGTCAAAAAAAACCTCTCAAAGCTCTGTGGATTAGAATTTGCTCTTTAAAAAAATTAAAGAAAGAAGGAAAGAGGAGAAAAAAAGAAAAGAAAATGTTTGAAATCCAAGCAAATCAGAGTTGCGCCTCTGCATGTCTTTCTGTGCCCCATTCCATTTCCAAGAAAGAGGTCCAAGCGCCAGCTGAGTGCTTGCCTACCTGTGGTGACACAGTCAAAATCCTTGAGCGGCAGTTCCCGGATCTTCTGGCCTTGGTACTGAGGGGGGCTTCCACAGAAGACGGCAGGGACGCTCGTGTTGGTGCTCTCCATCCACTCCACCAGCCACTTGATGTTGCAGTCACAGGTCAGCGAATTGCCCCGGAGGTCCCTGTTGGAAAGGCAAGGCTGGGGCAATCACCCTCCCTTCCGGCAGTGAAGACAAAGGGGAGCAGCCCTCGGCTCTTGGCTCTTGGAAGTCTGGGTGGCCCGGGTAAGGGAAAGCATGGCTCAGAGACAGAAACACAGGGAGAGCCTTTGAGGCAGGGCTGATATGCAGCCCTTACACCGGCTAATCTACATCTTCATCTTAGAACTGCCGAGCTGGAAGGGACCCAATGGATCATCCAGTCCAGCCCTTGCTAAGGAGGCCCAGAGGGGGGAATCAAACTCCCAACCCCTGTCTTTGCATTTCAGTACAGACATTGTACATGGGCTTGATCTCTTCCACTGCCCTGAAGTTAAATTCACTATTTTCATTGATGGATCTCCATGCTTTGACTTCAGCAGAGCCATTTAGTTTAGCTCACCTTTCTGGATAACCCTCTTCCAGAATCCTATGGGTCAATTTGCCACGGCTCATTGAGGAGACCGGGGCCCGTCTCAGCCGGACTATAATGGGCAAGCAACCAAGGCAGGCCCCGGCAACTTCCAAATGGCTGCAGCAAGTCAAGCTTTATGTGAACACCTCAGATCAGAGACGTTCTTTAGCTGCAACCTTGGGCCTGTCCATTCTGGTGACGGGGGAAATCTGTGGAATGCCGTAGTGAAAACCCCTGGGCGGATGGGGCTCCCTAGGAGTCTCAAATTCAGAGTTTAAAGACAAGGAATAAGAAGATGCCTTCCTGGCACCCGGGGAAGAATGAGGCTTACAAGTCGCTCAGGATTTCCAAGGGCTTCAAAAGATCTCTGGGCAACGTCCGTAGATTGTTGTTAGCCAAGGAGCTGAAAGAGATGAGGAACAGGGAGTGAGCTGAAAGAGATGAGGAACAGGGAGTTGGACTCTGCTGAACGACCTCCTCCTTTGGTTTGCAAACTGAAAGAACCACTCACAACGTGGTGGTGGTGGGGGAACTACAACATGCCAATATTTAGGTATTTGGTACAAAAAAAATAATCATTATTTCAGAAGCAAAAACTCTGCTTGCAACCAGCAGAAATGATCTTGCCATCTCACAAGTGAAGATGAGTCCTCCTTCTCGCACGTGATAACTAGACAAGCCACTTTTGACATCCCTAATGCAGATTTGGTCCTTGTTTTGGCCGGGCAGCAGCAGAGTGGGTGCTTGTCCTCACTAGGCTGAGATGCACTGAAAACTCAGGGGTCTTCCCAAGATGCAAGAATTCCCACCTACTGGGTGGGCATCACTTATCTCTGAGTGTGAGGCGCCTATGAGGGACACTTTAGCCAGGCTTGGGAGGAGTGCGGGAGAAGTTCTGGGCAAGAAGTAACTCACAGGTGCGTCAGCGACTTGAGCCCACGGAAGGTGTTTTTCGACAGAGCCTGGATGTCATTGTTCTCTATGAACCTGCAGGCAAAGAGAGACATACGTGTTACAGGTTGAGGATGTTGTTTCAGGAAACCTTCTTGCTTTGTGGGAATCGAGGAAACCCTTCGCATCTATCGATAATCACAGCCCTCGAAAGAGAGACATACGTGTTACAGGTTGAGGGTGTTGTTTCAGGAAACCCCTTCTTGCTTTGTGGGAATCAAGGAAACCCTTCGCGTCTATCGATAATCACAGCCCTCAGCCCAAGGGAGAGGGTTGCCTGCCCAAACTCCATCACTTCTGGGCAGATGTGGCACTCCTGGGGCCAAATCTGGCACATCCATGCATCTCTCACCCTTCCCAGGCACTCCTGGGGCCAAATCTGGCACATCCCTGGCCATGCGTCTCTCACCCTTCCCGTTGCATCTGAGACTTATTTCCTTCCCCTTCTCTCCCTCTTCCTCAGATGACCAACATCCAAGAGTTTTGGAGAGTTCCTTTTCTTTATTGTTTTCTTTTGCCTTCCAGAGCCCCCCAATGCCCAGGAGGAAAGCTGTACCATCTGGAGAAGATGTTTCATGAGATCGAAGGACAAATGTTCCCACCAACTAACAGCCCTGCTTCGAGATAAAAGTCAAATAAAAAAAAACCAGCTGCACACGCCTCTATGCTCATTCCCTCTCCGTTCCTCCAGCCGCCTTCAAATAATCATCCACCAGCCAGTACTGCATGCAGCCCCACCACCTACTCCGCCGCCCCCACAACTGTCTCCTTTAATCCCTGCCTTCTGCACCCTGGAGGAAGACCCAAGAAAATTGATCAGGGATCCATACAAGTACTGCAGGTGGGAGAGTCCTGTGAACGCATTGTCTCCGATCAAGGAAAACTTGTTGGAATTCAGCAAGCTGGAAAGAATAAGACAAAAACAAATTTCAATAAATAAAACCAATGAATAAATAGGACCCATGTGTTAGGATCCATGAGCAGGGAAACTGGCAAGTATTGTGAATCTCAGAACAATCTAGTTTAATATGTCCAGGGTCATAACTTCATTTCTACCCTCAAGGCCCTGCTGTTTGATGTATTTGTAGGGAGGAAAAACTTCTAATTTCCTTCTGATCTGTTTTAATGGGTCATTTCTTTTCCAATGAGTGCCTTGGCTCATTGCCTTGAGACATCTCCTCCCTAGAGGACAGGAGCGAAGAGTTGTAGCAGGTATTTTGCTTCTCCAATGCCACATGACTCTTTTGCTCTCAGCTGCACTCTGGAGAAAAAGGGGACACAACTTAGCAAGTTGTTCTTACGTAGATCTATCTTAACCTGCAAAGGAGCAGAGGGCTGGCAAGGAGTTCTGGTTCAGTCCCACGGTGCAAGCCTCCTTACGAGGTGATTTCCATGGGAGCGAATTTTTGTTTTAATGTAGCCAGATCAGCTCATAGCATCGCCTGCTTTAGGAACTGCATTGCGGTTGAAATTACCAACTAAAGGTCAAATCTGGATGTGAGGCTTCAGAACACATTGAGGGGGAAGAAAGAATGGAGAAGATCTGTAAAACACTTCAGTCGGGTGAATGAAAGCCAGGTACCAGAGCTACCCATTTATTTATTTATTTATAACACGCATGTCACACCTTTTGTCTTGAAAATAGGGAACTAAACATAAACCCTAAATTCACTGTTTAAAACTTTGGGTGGTATCTGTTCCCAGACTTCTGCTGGAACAGTGGTGTCCCATGGAGATGGGAATAGTGTTCCCCTTCTGTCTTCAGTGCTCTCCCAAACCTAGCCCTAAAGACCCCAGTTTTAGGGCAGTACCAACAGCTGCAAGGGGGGGGAGATGCTACACCCATGCAACGTGGGATTTAGGCCACCATTGATGATCTAATGACACTAAAGCTCAGAGAGTTAAAACCACAGCAAGAATGAACAGAAAACAGCACTCCCCTCCCCAAATGTAGAGGCGGTTCAAACCACAGCCCCCACTGCAGTTGCAGCTGTGAAAGTAATGCCATGGGTTCTGTTGATAAAGATCAGGGATGAGGAAAGTTACTTTTTTTTTTGGACTACAGATCCTAGAATTCTATGCGCAGCTCCTAACTCAAGGAGTTGCCATCCAAAAAGAATAGTCATAATGACTTGTCCCATCTCTGGTTATGATCTTTGGTTTGAACAGGGCAGTGATCATTTGGGACCTCAGCTTTCTTTCCCCAACTAGACAGGAGGGCGGGCGGGCGGGCAGACGTACAGAAACTGCAGGAAGGGGAGATGAGCGAAGGCAGCTTCTTTGATTTCGCTGAAGCCTGCGTTTATCAGGGTCCTGCAGGGAAAAGAGATGGAAAAGAGAGATGCTTAGAGACGCCCTGGCAGACAAAGGCATTTGAATCTCACACAAAGTCTGCCTGCAAAGTCCTTAGTCTTGGGTCCCGTAAACATTCAGAGGTTGCATGGAATAGCTTGACAAATGCAAAAACGTAGACCCACAGAGAATTGTCACTAAAGGCTAAAATGAACTCCTGGTCAAACTGATGTCCCAGCTGGACATGGATCAAGGTCAGATTTCCTGCACATTGCATATCTGGAATGGGGCCATGCCACCATCCGTCCAAAACGTGAGCTGTGTCGCTGTCTGGGCGCTCCCTGTGCCTGTTGCCCTTTGCAGATCTCTCTCATACTCCCTTCCCAGGGACCACTTTAGGCACCAAGAGAGACTTTCTTCAGGCAGCTGGAAAAAAGGAAGAGAAAAAAGAAAAACAGAGCCCCCCCCCAGCTCTGCAGCTGCCCCTGCCATTTGCATTTCCCCATCACAGACCAAACAGGGATCGAGGAGCAGAATCCCCAAAGGGGACCCGCCTAGGGTGGGTCAGCCCTGATCTTATTTGGACAAGGCATGATTGGAGGGCCTTCCGCCTAATGTACCTGTTGCTGTTGCTCTCCAAGGTGCTGAACTGTACCCACCTGCCCAGATTCAGGACCTTGGACAGCTCACGTCAAGGCTAAAACCCAGGGCAGGCTCAACATTCCCAAGAAAACAAGTGTCATCAGCAGCCTCCCTTGGAGTGGTCTTGATTCCCCTCTGCCTGAATGACAGCTGTTTCTGGAGATAGGTCCCTATCAAGAAGAACCTGCACAGTTGCATCCTGCCCAGAGGCCCCTGGGATAGTGTCTGCTCCAGCCTGGGTCTTGTTCCGTTCTGTTTCGAAACTGCAGTTTCATCCTTTGGTTTTCTGCTTACCCACCAACTCACCCTCTTCTGCTTGGTCTAGTGGTAGGGAATCAGGTGATCCTCTCTGCCCATCTCCGGTGTTTCCCTGAGCCGTGTTCGCTCCCATAGAGAAAAAGAGTCTAAAACTTATTGGCTACCCACGACCTTTTGACAGGTCCGCCAATCCCTTCCTTGCTCCCACTGAAAGCTTTCCCTGCAGAACTCCTAAAACCATGAATTTGGCTGCCAGCTGGACTCCAGAACCTTTTCTCTGGGTGTAAACCGTCTCCTCGGTCATCTTTCTGCATTGAGCACGACAGTGTGGAAAGCAAAAAAAGTTACAGAGGTGAGGATTTTCCTGCTGCAACTGTTGCTGATGTTAGTGATGAAGATGATGATGCTTTTGCTGCCGAGCTAGTCTTGGGGAGAAAAATTAGCTGCTGCAACTGTTGCTGATGTTAGTGATGATGATGATTTTGCTACCGAGCTAGTCTTGGGGAGAAAAATTAGTGTTTGTGAGACCAGTCACGGCCCATTTCTATAAATCTGCAAGATTCAATACTACACTAGCTGCATCATTGACTATTACATGGTGGAAGCCGAGAAAGAGTGGTTGCTATTTATTTAGCCGTGTGCATAAGACGGCCCCCTCAAATCAGGCTGTGTTCCACCATCCTGGGGTAACTCCCTGCTTAATCTCTCTCTCTCTCTCTCTCTTTTCTGTTGTTCATCCATTTGAACTGGCGGGAAGGGAAGAAGTAGGACCACCACACCGTGCATTGGCAAAGAGAATGCATTCAGAGATTTCCTTTTTGCTGTGATTAACAAAGTCTACTTGGAAAGGGACCCAGAAACCACTTAAACAAATCAATGCAGGTGTCAGCTCTGGCTCAGGAGCAGAAAGAACTGGGAAAGGCCAGGCCATGTTCCAGAATTCCCCAACCGGAATGCGATGGAGCCAACGGGATGTTTAAAACGAGCGAATAGTCATGGCCAGGGGTGGGGGGCTTTTTCCAAATTTGACACCGAGTCTTTGGTGAGTGAGTGGTTCACTCCAGCTCACCGAAAACATCTAGCCAGTCAGTTTCTTTAAAAAGAATTCTACATCCTGGGAGAAAGCCTGTCCTCTCTACCCACTCATTATGGGATGAGATCCCATGCTACTATTGCTCTAGAGGGAGGTATGGCCACTTTCAGCTGGTCCAGGGGCTGTGCACAATATTTATTTCTTATTTTTCATCTTATGTAAAATATTTTTATCCTGCCTTTCTCTTTCAGAAGGATCCAAGACAGCTTACGCCGTTAAAAGTATGTTAGTATTTAAAGCTAACGAAATACTAAAAAAGGATCAAACACCATACTTTTAAAAAGTAAGCAACAGCAACACCAAAATACATTGAAAGCAGTAAGGTATAACAAGCCATTTAAAAGGCAGGAAAGTTCACCTGAAGAGAAAGCTCTTTCTTTGCTTGCCAAAAGAAGAGAAAGGTCTTTCTTTGCTTGCGGAAAGACAGTAAAGAGGGGACCAGCCTGGCCTCCAGTGGGAGGGAGTTCCAAAGTCTGGGAGCAGCCACAGAGAAGAAACACAGACCACAGCTTGGAGAAGCTTCTTTCCTGGACTACAACTCCAGAAATCATCTGAATGCCAGAATTCTGGAAGCTGGGAATTTAAAAAGATAACATTCCCCATCTGTCCCTGCAAGGCTGATCTCAACTATCCCCAACCAGAGGTTCTCTTGAGCTCTACTGGGTATGGCATGACTGGTAGGATTGAATGCCGGCCATGGGGCACACAGCCGTGATCCCGAGAGACCCGTGAAGGTGCCTGATAGGAAAGATGAAAAGCAGCAGGAACACTTTTTAAGGACCCCAAATCCAGACGTTTTGCTGGCTGAGGGATTGCGAGCTCCAGCATATATGGGCGCTGCCAGGTTAAGGACATGTGGTTTCTGTGTGAGAGTTGACTCACCCGCTGATGTCTTCCTAGTTAGCAGTCAAGGCTGTGGAAGCCACTGCTTTGAAGAGATCATATCATATTTGTTTGATGCTGTCATTGATATATTGCGATGACCTATGGTATTAAGCAATCGACCAATAAAGTAAAGTAAATAAAGAAGAAAGCATGGAAGGTGGTGGAAGCAACCATCGCATACTATACCCCCTTTGCCACCCCCAGTCCTCCACCTCATGCCCTCTCCCCTCTGGATTCACAGGACTCAATGCTCCTTAAACAGCTGGTTCCCTATGTAGGCTTTGGAACCATGTTGTTACACACATTCAAGTCATCATCCTCACTCAGTTCAGCTTCCCAGCATCAAGAAAAGGGGGAAGTGTCATGAATTCTTTCTTTCCCCCATACGCGGCATGTCTGAGCCTAAACAAAATACCAAAATATGGCCTTTCCCCACTCCCCCCAAAAAACTTTACATATGAACTTCTCACTTGGAACCCTCTGCCTGTCCCTGGGGTCAAGTGAGGCACTGCTTATTTCTCATGGGTGGGTGGGGGACTCACCCCAAGACAAGGTGTGGTTGAGCTAAGCCCCCTCTGAAACGATCAGGACAAACTGGAATGAGACTCCTATGTAAGCAAGAATTTAAAAGTTTTGAATGAATGAATGCATGAATCAATGAATGAATGAATGAGCCCTCTGAGGAAGGATCAATCAAAAGTATACGGGGGGGGGGCGGGGAATATTGAAGTAACTCTTGGAATTGGTCCTTCCATGTGTTATTGGAGAAAATGCCACCCTTATTTCCACATTCCCTGCAAACATTTATCAAAACTTTACACGAGTCCAGTGTTATTTGGGGGGTACTCATCTCAGATCCCATGTTGATGCACCAGGAGTCTTTAAAGGTAACACAAGCATCATCATCATCATCATCACTACCACAATCCTCAACGCAGCCAAATCAACTCTTAGCGTTCACGGAAAACTCACCCTGCTTATTGAGATGTTACAAAGCACATAGATTTAGCGCTCATCCCAACTGTGAAAATGACACCGGGGGGGGGGGCAGTCCTTGTGTCTGCCAAAAAACGTTTCCTCCCTGAAACACTTTATAGCTGATCAGGTGCAATGTTCAGTCTACAACCTTTGCAAAGAGACACGTGTATTGTAACTACTTCATCATCCTTAACAACGAGAACAGCAGCAGCAGCAGCAGCAACAACAAGAAGTGACATGTGACATACATCCTTAACAACGAGAACAGCAGCAGCAGCAACAACAAGAAGAAGTGACATGTGACATACGGGCAAGACTGTAAGATGGTAATACTCATGTTAATGCTATTGAATGGAATGTGGCAGTTTAGCAGGTTCAGTAAATGAAGGGTTGCGGGCAATGTTCGCTTTGCTCCACCTGTCACTCTTGATGGCCCACCCATTTAAAACACTGGGGTTCCTATCAGCGGCAGTGTAGCTAACTCTAGAAAACCAGCGTCCTTCCCCATGGGAGTTCCAGGTTAGTGCAGCTTCGACACTCTGATCTTACACTCCTTTGCTGCTGTTCTGAGCCCCCCCCCCCCAGTTCAACCCCATTTCTCCAGCTTTGACAACGTGCAGTCTCCATTTGCACCCTAACTAGCTCCACCTCTGGATCAATGTATTGCCTTGCTTTCCTCCCTGACAACCGTTTCCTAGCAATCATCACAGACAGACAGACAGACAGACAGACAGACAGACAGACAGACAGACAGACAGACAGAAAGACAGAAGATAGATAGATAGATAGATAGATAGATAGATAGATAGATAGATAGATAGATAGATAGATAGATAGATAGATAGATAGATAGATAGATAGATAGATAGATAGATAGATAGATAGGAGCAGGCGATCTCAGGTTTGGCACTCACAGGGAGATGACATCTCGGGGCAGATTCTTAGGAATCGCCTTGGAGTCCACGCAGAAGGCCGTATCTCGGGTGCAGGAGCAGCTCGGTGGGCAAGGGGGAGGCCTGGGGGGTCTTCGGCAGGCGGCCGGTGACCACATGCAGGCCAGGCCCAGCAAGCCGAGGAGAAGAACCCGTCCCTTGGGGAAAACTTTGTCCCCTTGCTGCAGTCCGGCCATGGCCTCTCCCTGGTTTCTCCGCCGTTGAAAAACAGCCCTTCCTTCCGAGTTGTCCGGGCAGAGATGCCTCCGGGAGGACCCGCAGCTGCCGTAGGTCCCTCGGAGGAAGATGCCCCTTCGGCCGGTCTCCTTCTTCCTCCACAGCTGCGTCTGAAGTGTTGTGTTTTCCAGGTCGCTGCTAAAGCCAGGAACGGCGCTGGCTCCTGCTGCTCAAGAATTCAGCCCTGCAGAACGCGGCCCTCTTCCTGCCTGGTGTGTGGGTGGGAGGGAAAGGCAGAGAGAAGCAGAGACACCGAGAAGGAGCGCAAGCACCCAGCGATGCTGAGTGACAGGGTAGTCACGAGAGCAAGGCGAAGGAGGAGAGGCTGTCGCTCAGCAAAGCCGGGTTGGGGGGGGGGGACCAAACAAAAGGCAGGCTGCCTGTGGCAGCTGAGCAGATTTTCCTCCCTAGAGGTTAAACCTTTGCTCCCTTAGCTCAGCTGGAATGATCTGTACTACGTCCGCCCCCCCCACACACACACACACAATACCTGTGCAGACAATCCAAGCAGTGTCTTGCAGTGCCTGGGCTTTTTAAGGTGCCAGTGAAGTAAAACACCATCTTAGGACTACTTAGCATTATCCTACCAGATCTTGAGGATGCAACATTCAGAGGCGACACCATAGAGGCATTCCAGGCATTGTTTTTGATTAGTCGTTAAGTTGTGTCCGACTCTTCGTGACCCCATGGACCAGAGCACGCCAGGCCCTCCTGTCTTCCACTGCCTCCTGGAGTTGGGTCACATTCATGTTGGTCGCTTCAGTGACCCTGTCCAACCATCTTGTCCTCTGCCGTCCTCTTCTCCTCTTCCCTTCACACTTTCCCAGCATCAGGGTCTTTTCCAGGGAGTCTTCTCTTCTCACGAGATGGCCAAAGTATCAGAGCCTCAGCTTCAGGATCTGTCCTTCCAGTGAACACTCAGGGTTGATCTCGTTCAGAATGGATAGGTTTGTTCTCCCGGCAGTCCAGGGGACTCTCAAGACTCTCCTCCAGCACCACAATTCAAAAGCATCAAATTCCATCAAAATCCAGCAGCATTTCCAGGGGTCATAGGATTCTGGGCTCTAATTCTTTAGATTATGGGGCTGAACCTGCTGAATGCTGGCTATGAATTTTCCAGACTTTCCCCCACCATATAGATATGTCTGGGATGCTGGAGAGAGTACAGACCCACTTTCTAAGTTAGGTTCTTTTCTGGTGGCTTTGTTGTGTAAATTCAACAGGCTCTACGACTCTGCATTGCTTGTTTCTCCAGCTTGGGATACTGGCCCCACACACCCTGAGACCCTCCGTATTGTTACTGTACAGACCACTGTAGGTGCTCTCATTTCAAGAGTTCTCTCCTTCTTCCCCTCTGTGTCTTGCCATTGAGACTTTCCCACAGGCTCAAGTTGCAGATCCCAGGGCGCTCACATTGTTTGATCATTCCTGGCACACGAGCCGGCCAGCGAGAGCTGCGTGTGGCACGGCCACAAGCGCCCTTTGTCCCAGGCCCAGCTGTGCCCCAGACAACAAAGGGCAAAGTGTGAGGAGAAGGTGGCCTGATGGTGTTTGTGAGCCATTCTTGGCAGCCCAGAGCCGAGCCGAGCCGAGCCAAGCCGTACACAAACACCCAACACCCCCAGCCTGGCCCAAACAGGGTCTCTCCGGCAGGAGAAGAAAAATACCAGCGGAGGGGGGGGCTTTTTGATGGAGAGGCACTGCCGGACATTTCGACTCTCAGGCTGACAGTGCACAGAGACGGCCCAGAGGTGGTCCGGATGGATAGCCATCTTCTGTCTACGCCATCGCCACTGCTTTGCTTCCTTTAGCAGACCGTGAGATCGAAGCATCTCAGTGCACAGACCATAACAGACCTGGGGAGAAGGAGGGCGCTTTTGGACTACAACACCCAGAATCCCCCAGCCCAAAAGGTGTCTGACCATGGTGAGGGAGGGTATTCTGAGAATACATAGCCCAAAAAGTTGATTTTTCTAAGCTGCCCTGGGAGGACAGAGATGTCGCAGATGGAGAAGGAACATGTTGTTTTATTCAGGGATGGGAACTTGAGTCGCAGGACTCTCGGTCAAGTTGGACTTAAGCAACACTGGTGAGTCAAGTCGGGCTTCCCCCCCCAATGATTCGGACTCAACTCACAACAAAGAAACCACTTGTTTGTCCCTTTTTTCCTGGGGGGGGGAGTTGGTTTTTAATAGGGACTTGGTGCTTGGGACTCAGGACTTGGTACCAAAGAGACTTGGGACTTGAAGATTTGCCAACATTTCTGGTTATATTGAGAGGGTTGGGTGGGTCTCTAGTCTTCCTCCTGATAAAACAAAAGAAACCAGGTGCTTATCCTGCAAATAGACTGTGGAATGTCCTCATCCTTACTAAATGCACTCTAGAGGAAGCCTAGTCTCTAGTCTTCCTCCTGATAAAACAAAACAAAACAAAAACGATTTGCTTATCCTGCAAATATACTGTGGAATGCCCTCATCCTTACTAAACGCACTCTAGAGGAAGCCTCCATGAGCTTCTCCCCCATCTTATTCTCACAGCTACCCTCCTTCTCCATTCCATGGGTGCGTCAACCCCGCAGAAGCCGGCTCTGCAGCTAAACATCTAAGGAAGCGTCGGAAGAAAAGGCCCTGCCTTGAAGTCACAGATGGTGAGCTTTTGCGTGCAACTCCGAAAGGACCTTCAGGATCCTTGGCCTCAACGTCAACCCTTTTTCTCTGAGTTCATTTGCAAACAAGACCCTGAAGTCCTAACACAGTTTGGGGGACCTGGGCCCCCCGTCCGCTTCAGAAGCACAGCCTGGTGGATGGCGCCTCAACTAAACGAAGGAGATTGGGTCTTGCTTTCCCATCTTAGGAGCTGAAACCAATTTTGTGCACTTGGGTTCAAAGTAATGAAACCATTTGCCGTCCAAGGAACCAGCTGCCTTCCCACCATCCCCATGGAATGAGGCCTCTTTGAGGCTGTTCGACTCTTCACTCTCATAGCATCCGCGGGCACTCCCTGTTTTGCAAGGGCCTCTCAGGATCCGTGGTCAAAGCCAGGTTTCCCCGTTCTTGATCTGAACCTCTCAGGAGCATTGGTGCTCTACTGACGCAAAGGTGTCTTGAATGAGAGGCACCTCCAACCTCAAGGTTCAAGGCTTTCGAAAGAACAAGAGGTGGTGCTTGTCTCCTGAGAGGTCCTTCTCCTCGTGAACAAACTTGTTCTGGGGCTCTTGATGGGTTCAAACCCAAGTGGCACTTATCTCAAGCTCTACGTGAAAGCAGAAGACCTGGGTGCTGGCCAACAATTTTGCCTAAAGTGATTTTGCATGGAGTGGGACCACTCTATATAAAGATGATGGGTCTCTCTTACCAGGGAACACCTGAAACCTGAGGAGGGACAGGCAGGAGAGTGGCCATGGAGGAGACCTATCACAAAGTGGAGATCAGCAGCAAAGAAATCCTGATGAATGAGGCCCCGCCGGTGAGTCTCTTTTCTCCTGGGAAAGATCTTTTGCTTGGAAGGAATCATCCAGGTTGGGGTTATTAGCAGAAAGAGAGACAGCAAGGGATGGCCGTAGTTTTCACTGAGGTGCAGAACTTACAAATGTTCCTTTTTATGGGCTGCAGGTCCCAGAACCCACTAGCCAGAATGGTTGGCAAGGGGATACTGAGACTTGTAGTCCAAAAGCAACATCTCAGAATTCCACTGAGGTGGGGCGGCAATGTCTGGATGTTGGCGTGTCAGTGAGGACTAATCTGAAGCAGGGGTGCTCCTCTGTTCAAACATTCCGACCCTGCACATAGAAAGGTAGCCTGTAAGGAACACAGCAGCATGAGGATCTGCCTTATACCGAGTCACACCATTGGTTCATCCACCTGTCCCACTGGGGGAAATCTATGCTCTCAACATCATGATAAGCATCCCATTCTGTTATTCTCTGGTGCTGCAGGTTTACACCGCTTCGCCCCGGCTCCTGCCTGGCCTGCCTTGCAAGAAGCCCTTGATCATCGTGGTGGTGGTGGTGGTGATTGTCTTAATCGTTCTTGGCTTCCTGCTGATGGGGCTGCATATCACACAGAAGCACACGGAGACAGTAAGTGCCGCATCATGCCACCTGAGAATGTACGTCTGCCGGGGTAGATGACCTCAAAAACCAATGCAACGTCTTAGTCTGGAACCTTCAGCCAGTGGGCTGGATCTGACCCATCTGGACTTTCCAATTTGACCCTTGATGTTCTCTGGCTGGCCAGGTCCCTTTCCACTACACAGCGTTATCTGATTTATTAAAGTTTTAAAAGAATTTTTTACAGTATGTATTCATTTGATCCTTTTGCATTTGTATAAATGAACAATCTGTGTATGCAAGCGTTCCAGAGGTCAGGTCTCACTCTTTCTGCCCGTTTCAAAATGAGGCAAACTGGTGTTTATCTTGCAGTGAGCCATCAAGAGAGAAAGGACGCTAAACACAAGAGCCGTTGGTGTGGAAAAGTGGTTGCGATGACCCATAGTCATCAATAGTCCCCACTTGAGGTGCCATGATTTCTAAAGGAAGGCAAAACAGAGCTGGAGTCGCTGAGGAATGCCTGGGTTACAAGCGTGCCAGCTTTTTTCTTGTAGATCTTGACTGGATCCCCCAGGTTCCTTTGGTTTCATGCCAAGGTCTTCTTTTCACCATCTAGGTCCTCCAAATGACCATTCAAGGTTTAGATGGGGAAGGCTCCTCCCAACACCTTTCCATGAGCAGAAAGGAACGGCTGGCCACCTTCCACATCAACCTTCATGCCAATGCATCGGCTACCGTGGTCTACGACTTCAACAACGTAAGACTCGCTTCCCTCTCTTCACAGCCTCGAAAGGAAATCCCTAGGGTTCCTGCTTCACATGACTTTCCCAAAGCCTACTTGCTTGGCATGCAGAAACCAGCACACAATGGTTCTCAGTTCTTTCCTCTAGGTTTCTAGTCCTCAGGGTTAAAGAAAAGGCATTTAATTGATTTATACCACACTTCTCGGTTTGCACAGCATTTGGCAACCTTCTGCCACTGTCATTCCCTTAACAACTCAAATCGCTGATTGGGGAGACGAGGCCGGCAAGTTATTCCCATCTGATGCATAAAAAAACCCAAGGCATAACAATTGTGTGATTTTTTGCTCAGTCTCCCTCTAGGAACTCTTGGTTACTCTAACCCAGTCAGGGTGACTGTGCAAAAGAGTCCAGGAAAAATGATTTCTCCAAGTGTCCAGATGAGATCAGCTTCACAGAGTAAAGATTGCTTGGTCCTCGTGACCATCATTAGGTCCTCTTCTCCCTTTTCAGCAGAGCCAGATGTTGGGAATTCAATTCCCCCACAGTGCCTTCTTGGCAAAGGCTTAATGGGGTCCCTTCTAGTTCTGCAGTTCTAAGTTGTTGATGATGATGATGATTCTCTCACATACACACACATAACTGTTTTTTTAAAAAAATCTAAACCAGCAGTCAGGGTGACTGTGCAAAAGAGTCCAGGAAAAATGATTTCTCCAAGTGTCCAGATGAGATCAGCTTCACAGAGTAAAGATTGCTTGGTCCTCGTGACCATCATTAGGTCCTCTTCTCCCTTTTCAGCAGAAGAACTGCTGGATAGCCCAGCGGTTTAGGTGTCTGACTACAGAGCCAGAAGTTGGGGGTTCGATTCCCCCACAGTGCCTTCTTAGCAAAGGCTTAATGGGGTCCCTTCCAGTTCTGCAGTTCTAAGATGATGATGATGATGATGATGATTTTCTCTCATACACATGACTGGTTTTTCTTTTTCTTTTTAACTAAACCACCCTTCCACAACCTGTGTGGCTCCAGAAAGGTTGGTCCCCAGCATCAATCTTTCTTTGCCAGCATGATCATGAGCCACTGGCTAGCTCTGGATGATGGAGCTGTAATCCAACCCATCCGAGTCACCTTCGTTGGGTGAAGAATGGTCTAAATGTACAGAGAAAGAGAGAGAGAGAGAGAGAGAGAGAGAGAGAATGGACTTTAGAAGGGATGTCCATTGGAAAAGATGATCAGGCCGAAGGCTTTGAGAAGATAGCCAAGAATCGTCCTTCTCAAGATACCCTTTTGGGGGACAGGAGAGAGAATTTAACATGTGATGTGCTGTTGGGTCCAGAGGTTGTGTTCTGACTCCTTTTGCCAAGACTTTAATATGTTCCCCGGGGTTTCTGCCTTTCCACAGCTCCTGATAGGCTACCGAACCTGGCCAGGCCAGTCTTGCTACATCACCAGAATCAACAAGGAGAACCTCCAAAGCCTGGATGCTGTTGTCCAAACCTTCCAACATGTCCAGGTGAGTTAGGAAGAGACCTGGGCGCACAGAAACTTTGCTCTGATGACATCCTGTCTAACTTTGTGTTCCGACCCAAGCGACAAAGAGCGAATTGTATGGAACCTCGGTTTCTAGCCCGGTGGTGCATGATCCCCTTTCCGAGGATGTTCAAGAGGCTGCTATGGGGGCAATGGTTGCAGTGTGTGGATCCCACTGCAGATGGAAGGGGGTGGCTTAAACCCAGCCTTCCAGGGCCATCCCTAGCAAAGACAGTCCTGAATAATAGCCATCCCTGGGAAGAGTCCGTGTGGATGACGGTGGGAAGGAGGTGCTCCTGGGTCGAAGTGATGGGTGAGGAAAGGGTTGGTTGCTTTCTGAGGATGCTCCTGTTCTCCTGTTCTTGCAGCCAAGGCCACTCACGCCTTCCCTCAAACCAGACAAAGAGGACAGGGAGGAACTCTCCAAGCCACTGGCTGACCGTTCCCTCCTGGGCACGACAATTAACATCCTCTGCAGCAGCGTTCCCATCGACTGGGTTTGAGGAGAGAAGAGGAGACGGGCCGTCCAGACAAGTTGGGCCAATGCGCTCAATGCCTACGAACAAAATCGAACAGATCCGCCAGCAAAAACTTTCAGGCGCCAGATTGGCGTGCAGCCATTGCGATGCCCAAGAGAAAAGCCAGACTCCAGAGATTATGCCTTTGTTAGGGTGAACTGACATATGCATCATTTTTAACGTTGCTGTATTTTCACACTCATTTGCTGATGATACAAATTGGGGATAATTTGTGCCATACATTTTGTACTGATTTGCCTGTCTATGTTTTATTTTGGCTTTGCAAACCATCTTTTTTCAATCTATAATAAAGAACGTGCACAGAGAGAGCAGAATCATAGAATAATGGATCTGGAAGGGACCTCAAAGGTCATGGAGTCTGACCTGCCCACTCAACGCTGGAACCCAAATCAAAGCAGATCTGACAGATGATTGTCCAGTTTTCTCTTGAACGCCTCCAGCATTGGAGTGCTCGCGATCTCCCGAAGTCATGGGCTCCATTGTCGTACTGCTCTAACAGTTAGGAAGTCCTCCCCTCTGATATTTAGCCTAAATCTGAATATGAGTTAGGAGGAAATAAATGCCTCCTTATTGATGCAAGATGTTGCATCAATAACAACGTCATTTCAGGATGTTGTGGGTGCAGAAGATGCCAGAGGAAAGCCCTCAGTGGGGGCACTATAGGAGCTATCGTAAGCCTTTCTCCCTTGTCTTTTGCCCCCTCGTCACAAGATTGTGGTGACTTAAGGCCAGTCATTCCCTGTGCCTCCCCTGCTAGCATCTCACGGTGTCTTGGGAGCGGGGTTGCCCCACCTTGGTCACCGAGGTTTGTGGGTGAACACCTGAGATGAGGGAGCGGGCCCTGGTGATGTCAGACGAGGCAGGCAAGGGCTGAGGTGGGGGAGTTTATTTCCCTCCTGGGTTCTGTGCCACTGCTGCCAGAAGTCTCCCGAGTCATGGCCCTGGTGCTCCTCTCCCTTCCTCACTCCAAATGACACAATGCCTCAGGTGTGCCGGAAAGGGAGGAGTGAAGGACTGAACAGAGGGCAGGCAGGTGGATGTCCTTGAGTCCACTGCTCCATGCAGAGCAACACACATGTGCTCACTACTGGGCAGTATATATGTGCTCGCGTACGTCTGCTTTACACACACACACTTGTAAAGTCTAAAACCCAGAACAAAGGCACAGCCCCTCAACAGTTCCTGCTCTGCTCTTGTAAACTCCAGCTTGTGGCTTCCTTGAGGGAGTCAGCCCATTTCGTATTTGGTCCTCCTCTTTTCCTGCTGCTTTCAACTTTCCCAGCATTATTTTTTTCCAGAACTTCCTGCCTCCTCAGGATGTGCCCAAAGTAGGGCCGTCTCAGTGTCAACATTTTTGCCTCCTGAGAAAGTTCAGGCTTGATTTGCTCTAGGATCCACTTGCTCCTCTTTACGGCAGTCCAGACTATCCACTAAGCTCTCCCCCAGCACCTCCTAGGTTTGAGAAATCAAGCCCTGGGTTCGGAAGGAGGAGGGCATAAGAGTTATTCCGGCACTTTGCAAGCCTCAGAGGGGCAGCTGCAGTTTGGCTACACGGTGGGGCCTAAAAGACCTCCTCCCACCCACCACCCACCTTGTGATCTTGGAGAAAAAATAATAAAAATGTCCAGCAACCTACCAAGGAAGAGCAAGGGCACGAGGCACCTGCACATTACATTGCTGACAAAGGGAAGATCCAGGCCGTATGCATAATTCACGACACCGAGCAGCGATCGCTGCCTGAACTCGCTCACAGTTAACCTGCCACAGAGGGCGGATTCTCAGTTACATGGGATGAAATGGAGGAGAACCCTTCCCACTACAGCCAATGGCCTGAAACAATCTCTAGCATGTTCATAACGGAAACTGTTTTCTTGACAAGCGCCCCTGGGAAGGCCATGTAGGCGCAGGCTTTCATAAGCTGACCAACAAAATGCTGAGTGTCCCTGGTTCTCTTTTCAAGGTAGGACTGATATAGGGGTTATCCTCCTCATTTCAGAACCACAGAGCTGGAAGGGACCCTACAGGTGATCCAGTCCAGCCCCTGTCAAGGAGGCCCAATATGGGCATTGAACTCCCCACCTCGGGCTCTGCAACCTTTGAGCTATCCAGCATGGGGCCAGCAGGGACCTGTCAATTGGGCTGTTATTTGCCCTCCGCTGCCTCGAGAGGTTCTTCAGGCGGCACCACCAGGCTAAAATTTGGGGGAAAGAGAGGAGTCCCTTTCGCTCGCCATCCGAAGGTACCAGCAGAGCATAGGGGGAAGCCAAGAGGTGGGACTGGCCTGCCCCAGGGAAGAACTTCCCAACTCCCGGCCAAAGATGGCAAGCCCCCTATTTCAGCTCACTCCTCTCCCCTCTCCATTTCTCACTTCAAAGCCCCAGCTGATTATCTCAACCATCTTCCCCGAACGTCCAGGTCTCACGTCCCAGCAGCTCTGCGGGGCATCTTGTTCTGAAGGTGAGAAGAGCTACGGGTCCTTTGTGGCAAGTCCTCAGACCACCTTCACAGCGATCAAAAAGGTCCCAAAAGCCAAGAGGTACTCACGGTGGGAGAAGAACGACCCTCCCCTTCCACTGGCTTCGGCTTTGTCCTCTGGATTCTTGGTCCCCATCTTAGGGGATACTGGGCTTTGCAGTTGGATGAGGAACCTAGACATCTCCACTGTGGTTTGTGGGAGGGCACCAGAGCAGGGAATCCTGTGGACCTCAACAAGCTACAAAGGCAAGGATGGGGCCCGATGGAGCCCGGGCACTTCCAGTGGCATTGCGTCAGATGGTGACACCTATATAGCCTTTACTCAAATCTTAAATTAGGCAAGGAGGCAAGACAGAAAGTCGGATCTCATGGATTTCTACCAATTGGGACCTGCCCTTGCAACCCTCCGTTAAGCCCACTGGGGAAAGGAGTCCTGAGACGGCATGCATATTTGTTTGTTTGTTTGTTTGTGTTTGTTTGTTTGTTTGTTTGACTTTCTGTGCCACCCATCTGACCCACGGTCACTCTATGTGGTTTACAACAGTGGCTATAACATAAAATAACACATAATTAAAGTGAGAATTAAATTTAAGTTAATATATTACATTTAAAAACATGCAGAAATTAAAAATGGTAGGCTTCAGTGTATCGTCCTATGCGTTATTCTTAAAGGCAACTTTCTGTTGGTTTCCAATGATTTTGACCCATAATAATAATTAGGGATTTGGATTTTTCTTCTTCTTCTTCTTCAGGGGCTATCATGTATCAAACTGGACCCACTCTGAAACAACTCCCATCCTCCCCAGCTATTGGTGGTTGGGGCTGATGAGCCCAGCAAATGCTGGAGGACCACCGCTCTTCCAGGCCTGACCTAGAGGAATTGGAGCTGTCAATGTGGAAATGCTGCCGGCAGCATGGTGGCCACACCACGTCAGCATCAGCCCAGCCTATTTTAGCAACATGATACAGCGCGCTCCTCTCCATCTTGGCTACGCGGAAGAACAATCTGTTCATTGTTGGGACCGTGAACTCCCCATCACCCGTGGCTGCCCTTCTGTGGCGGGTACTCTTGCGCCATCTCCTCAGCTGTAAAGGCAGATTGCGCAATGCACCGTTTCATGCTGTTGTGTGACCTTTGTGGGAAAGGGGAGAGAATGGGCTGAAGGAATTTTTACGCCGTTTCCTAAGAATCCTCACTTTGACAAAGGACCTCCTTGAGAGCTACCGCCACTCAACAACCAAACCAAGGAGGACATTTCAGTCCCCAAACTGGCACCACTGAAGGGCTGGCGAGCGTTGATTGCCTCGAGAAAAAGCACACAGAGACCAAAAAAAGCACACCTCTTAAGAAGCTTGGCAAGTCTTGGAAAGCAAACACTACGCCTCCGCTCTGCGTTGAGAAAATGCCCCTTCAGCACCCCCAGAATTTGCTTACCTACTTGTAGTTTCATTTTGGGCGGCGTAGAAGGGCTGCTTGCAAGATGCCCATCAAAAAGTCAAGGAGAGGCTCGGGAGGAGGTGAAGAAACCACAAGGAAACTAGGACACAGTGGGAGTTGAACCACTATGGTTTCACCTCAAATGTATAGCCTAGGAACTGATTAAGAGATCATCATGGCGGTCGTCGTTGTCATCTTAGAACTGCAGAGCTGGGATGGACCTTCTGGATCATCCAGACCAGCCTCTGTCAAGGAGGCCAAAATGGGGGATCGAACCCCCAACCTCTGGCTCTGTAGCCAGAGGCCTAAGCCGCTGAGCTACCCAACAGTTCAGAAAAGTTGGGGCAATGTCTGTAGGTTGAAAAAAAAATGCATGGTAGAGAAAGGGGAAGAATGAGTGGAACCGGAGGTCTGTTGTAAATATATATGTATATATAGAGATCTTGCTTAGTTAGTAAAGGTAAAGGTAAAGGTTCCCCTTGACAATTTGTCCAGTCGTGTCCGACTCTAGGGCACGGTGCTCATCTCCGTTTCCAAGCCGTAGAGCGAATGTTTTGTCCGAAGACAGTTTCCGTGGTCACGTGGCCAGCGCAACTAGTTAGAGGAAAGTATATCAGTGGGACACAAAAGGTCTGTGTGATCACTGATAATTATACAATTATGACAAAATGTTCATGGTAAATTTTGTGATAAAAAATAATTCAAAGACAAGGAATGGGTATCATGGAATGCCTGCAGGTTCTGTTTACTTATAAGGGGAAGTATGCAAACTGAACTTAAAAAGGACAGTTCAGGCAACCAGGATGAGTCAGCCCGGCCGGCCCGACCAATGGACAGAGTGAGGCATTTGGACAGTATGTTTCCAAGCTGGCAGAGCTCAGGAAAGACCTCTCTGGTTCATACTAGCTGTGTGATCCTGGGTGTTGGCAACCAAAAACAGCAGAGGAACTACTCCGAAGGGCCTCCTCGGTTCCTAACAGACGACACAGAGAGTTGACTTGACTGCAGAAACCTGCTGATTCTGGCTGGGTCTAGTTTGCCGACATCTCTGCTGAGCTATTCATTGAGAATAACAAAAGAACTGCTAAAATAACCGACTCCTTTGTTCCTTCCTCTTCCTACCCACCTAGTCGGTGTGATGGAAGACTGGTTTTCAAAGGGGAAGAAAGTGGAGGAGGGAGGAGAAAACCATGCTGGTCCTTTTTTTTCAAAATCCAAAACCAGGGCTACCCAATTTATTTATTTTATTTATTAAATGTATACCCAGCCCATCTAGACTACTCTGGGCGGTTTATTAAATGTATACCCAGCCCATCTAGACCCGAGTCTACTCTGGGCGGTTAACAATAATAGATAAAATAAAAACAATATAATAAAATTGAAAAAAACAGTAATAATATAGTTCAAGATGGGAAAAATAATGCCTTTATCAGGATGCTAAAGGATCAAAAACACACAAGTATTGGAGCCTTGCAGGACTCTTCTTAAATGTAGACCCTGGGGGTAGGGGAACAACAGAGATGTCCAAAAATGAACAAATGTTGAGACTTCAGGATTGTTAGTTAACATCTAGAGACAGAGGCTGCAAGCTTGTACAACCAACTTCAACACGAGAAGACAGGAAAAGGATCCTTCTCTAGTCCAAGTGGACACTCATTAGGAAAAAAAAAGCATGCCAGGACATCACAAGTGCCTGGATTGGCTTCTCAAGAGACCAATGTTTGCATTTCTCTGTCCAACAAGGCTTGAATTCTTGGGGATGAGAGTCTTCAGAGGGGTCTTGATGGCCAGGTCTTGGGCCAACCACTTCTGGAGGCGAAGTGGTCTTGAAAGAGGCAGGCGATAGAGTGAAGGAACCAGGAGGCACAAAGAAAGTTTGGTCCCCAGCCAGCAGGATCCTGGCCAGGAGAAATGGCAGCCCACCGAGTTTCACCACTTTTCTAAGCCCCAGATAACACGCGCACATATATATGTGTGTGTTTGTGACCCTTTTCATTCAGGTGTAGCTGAGGCTAGGATTCCAGGCACGGCTGGGCCATGGAGGAGAAGCAGAAGATGGAAGTTCTCACAAAGCAGACCTTCCTCGGAGCACCCTCAGAGGTGAGACTCTCCTGATACTTTTAAATTTAATTTATTTATTTCTGCTGTAACTTTCCTGCCGGTCCTGCCAAGATGACCTCCAAGGAATAGCAACTGTATAATCTAGAAAATTATACAATATCTACAGATATCTTCTTCTCCCTTAAAAGCCAACTTGGAGGGTATACAAAAAGTGAATTATGCTGTTACAAAGGCAGCTCTGTCTGGACTAATTTTACGATTCTTACTGTTACAGCATTGTCTAATAATGTTTTTTCCTGAAGCATTTTCCAGGTACAGTGTCAGAAAAATGACTCATGGAAAACCAGGGAGAATTCTCTTCTGGTTTTATTTATTGGTTTGTTTGTTTGCTGGACTTCTGTACCTCCTGATTCGTGCCAGGCACTTTTCTAGATGGGTAACGATAAGTAGCATAGTGTAACAATAATAAAGGGAATATAATAAATCAAATCAAATCAATAAACATAAAACAAATCAGTCAATCAACACCAGATACAGAAATAGGTAATAGATGGGCAGGCAAGCATTATTAGGCAGTTAGGCATAACTGTCATCCATCCATCCATCCGTCCGTCCGTCCGTCCGTCCGTCCGTCCGTCCGTCCGTCTATCCATCTTAACCTTCCAGAATGCACAAAATGACACTGCTAAAGTGTTTATCCTCTCTGAGTACATTTCCTTGTGTTTGTCTCTGAGTTTATGTGAGTTCACAATGAATTATATACCTTGAAAGGAAGTTATTTGGGATTTTTAAAATGCTGAAACCCCCAGTTTAGGCATGAGACCGTACTTTTCAGTCTGTAGGAATTTCCTTCTGCCTGTCCGTGGATTCTGTTCTCATTCAAAATATGCATGTCCTTAAGAGCAGCATCCCCAAATGCCTACGGCGGATTTCAGTTTCCCATTGCAGAAATCTCCCTGTGCAAATCCATTTAAAGCAATACTGAAAATCAATTACACACAAAACTGTAGTTGTGCTAGACATGGAAATGGGAAAACATGAAGGATGCTGGATGTTGGATACCAAAAAATCATCCAAAACAAGAGGTGTCGTGAGTTTGAAGCATTGTGTGCTTCAAAACTACTCAAAGGATAGGGTTTCTGATTTATGTGTGGCACCTGAAAGATCTGTGGGTCTTAAGGCAATGGTCCCCAGATGTTCTTGTACTACAACTCCCAGAAGCCTTCATCACTAGCTGCACTGGCCAGGGTTTCTGGGAGTTGCAGTCCAGGAACCTCTGGGGACCCAACATTGGGAACCATGGGTCTAAGGCCCCCTTGGCCAATGTTGGGGCCTTGAGTGAAATGCCAGACTACCATCCTCATTGTCCCCCTTGCTGCCTGGAAGAGGATGGGAACGGTAGTCCAGGGGTGGAGACGGCTGCTTTTCAGCCTTGACTTCCTCGCAGCCCAAGGGGGCCTTCCTCCTTCCACGCACCAGACGTAACCTTTTCCCCCTTTCCCCTTCTCTTCCTCTGCCCCCCACAGGACAACCCCATCCCGATCCCCATCCCGGGCCTGGGCTGTTGCCCCTGCTGTGACTGCTGCGGGTGCTGCGACTGCTGTGGGTGCTGCGACGGCTGCTCCTGCCCCAGCTGCGACTCTTGCCCCAACTGCTGCTGCGGCTGCTGCGGCTGCTGCCCGCCCAGCTGCGAGTGCTGCTGCCGGGCCTGCTGCTTCCTGCCCAAGCTCCTCTGCCGGCTGCCCACCCTGCCCAGCTGCCCCGTCCGCATCAAGCCGCTGCTGATCATTGTGGTCGTCGTCGTCCTCATCGTGGTCGTCATCGTGGGGGCGCTGCTGATGGGGCTGTACGTCACCCGGGCGCACACCGAGACGGTGAGCCGAGCCTTAGGCAAACCCCTCGGCTTTCGCAGAGGATTGCGTCCAGCGGGGAGTCTTCTTTCCGTGCCAACGGTGGCCCTGACTCAGAGTCGGGAAGCAACCAATGGCACGTGGTGGATTTTCCTA